ATGAAAAGGAAGAGCTTTTTGTAATTTTGGTCTTTCAGCTTCTGAGTAGATAGCTCCCTAATCCCTGTGGGATTGCCATAAGGATACCAACATTTTTACAGTAAGAACAATAGCGATGTGGAATTCTCTGCCTGAAGAAGTGGTTTTATCAGTTTAGGCATACTTGCAAAACCATAATATTCAAGGATATAATTTTTAAATTGTGTGGCAATAGCTTCTTGATCTAAAGATACATCTGACTGACATTCTTGGGTCAAGAAGGAATTTTTTCCTAGTTTGTAGCAAAATTGGAAATTCTTCAAACAGTTTTTTGGTTTTTTTTGCCTTCTTTTGGATCAACAGCAAAAACATATGAAAAAGGCTGAACATGGACACATGTTGCTTTTCAGCCTATGTAACTATGTAAATACTAATTTTTTACAGTGGCATGACACTATCGCTTTAAATATGGCAACACCACAAGAGTACCAATTTAGAGAATTATCTGCAAAATGCAGCCGCGGCACAGATCAGAATTTAATTTGTCTAAATTAAATTCTTTATGCAAAATAATGGACAAATTTCATCCAAAAACAAATGAACAAACAGATTAAATGCATTAAAACTAAACAAAAATGTTGTCAACCCGCAAGTCTAATGTGTATATAAACGCGTGTCAGTATGTGTGTTTCATTTCCTTAACAAAAGGGGGTTGAGGGTGGAACCCCCAAAAATGTTTTTACAGTTTGAAGGAGGTGGGGAGAAGTGCTAAAATAAATTTTCACTACAGGTGACATATGACCTAGGTATGCATCAGCTAGGCGGGAAGAAGTAAGTGATTCAGTGGCTGTATGTGAGTTGGTGGGATTGTGGGGGTTTGGCCGCACACTGTTTAAATAGCTAAATATGACTAGAGTTAATTGGGGTATGGGATATGTGACTAAATAATGAATATGAATAGGTGGGTGAGTATGAGTATGTGAGAGAATGGTTCACATACATACATAGGACCAGTACAAACAGCTGTGAGGTTGCGATGTTCAGTAAAATTCTGTACATATTACAAGAGGTCTCCCATTTAGACTTGTAGAAAGGAGATTTCACCTACATTATAGTAAGAAAACCAACGTTGTGAAATGCTCTGCATAAAGAGTCTGTTCTATGAGTTTATGAACAGAATCTAAAACACAGAATAATCAAGCATTTAATAATTAATATGTGGGATAACAGCTTGTTGATCCAAGGAGAAATGTGTCACCTAGTTTGTGGGGAAATTGCGTCAAATTAGCTTTTTTGCCTTTTATTGGATCAACGGCAAAAGAACAGATATATGAAAGGCTGAACTTGATGGATGTTACTGTTTTAAGAATAGAAAAGAAAAAAATACAATAAAAATACAAATGCACCTAACCCACCAAATGATTGAAATAGGCAAAAGTACTTAACTGTGGTATGAAATAGATACAGCTTCCCAAGAGGTTTCCCCCAAACGGACCTCAAGTACAAATATGCGCATAAACAAAAATGGGATACAGCTGAATAACTAAAAAACAAGAAAATACATAACACATAGTGAAGTACAGTAATTGCAATTGGATTTAACCCCCAATGATTGCACTCACGAAATAGTGTAGAGTAATGCGCCTTTAAGCCCACAATGGGGCTAGAGAAGCATTCACCTTCCACAGATGGGGACTTCTGTCTTCCAATGAAGTGGGAATACGCCAATTTAAATGTATAAAAATATTTTTATTGAGGCAATACAAGACCTTAGTAAAAAATTAGATAACAATGAATAGAATTTAACTGCAATCTAACGCGTTTCGTCCACATATAGTGGACTTCCTCAGAGATAATAACACAGTATAAGCAGTAATGCAATAAAAAACAAAGCATTCCCACTTCATTGGAAGACAGAAGTCCCCATCCGTGGAAGGTGAACGCTTCTCTAGCCCCATTGTGGGCTTAAAGGCGCATTACTCTACACTATTTTGTGAGTGCAATCATTGGGGGTTAAATCCAATTGCAGTTACTGTACTTCACTATGTGTTATGTATTTTCTTGTTTTTTAGTTATTCGCTGCATCCCATTTTTGTTTATGCGCATGTTACTGTTTGACTGTGGTCGTGTATCTGAAAGTATGGGATAATTTATTTAGTGTGTCTGGAAATGTATTTTGGGTTGAGATATTGCCAGGTTTTTGTAATTCTAAAGGCAACCCTACATACATAATCAGTTTTCATGCTTGTGAATATACTGCACAAGTGACTCCCATTCATTTCTAAAGGGACAACTTTCTATAGATTATGTAGGTCTTCTTCTCATGATTTTAGTGCGAGATCAAAGAGCCCTCCAAACATCAAAGGAAGCAATTATCAGCTCTGGAAGATCGACAAGTAGGCTACTTATAGTCTTTTTTAGAGTGTTCCTTTTATGCTGCAACCTTTTTTTTGTAAAAAAATTTTTTATTGAGGTAACTATTTAAAGTTTGCAAAGTCAGCTAAGCAACACTTATGTCTACAATGTACATAGTCGAACATTTCAAAAACTGGACACTTCACAGTAAACTGAAACAAATGTCTCTTTATTTTTTCTCTCTTTTTTTTAAATATGGTAACATATATTTGTCAATTCTAGCTAAATTGGTCATATTAATACAGAAAAATAAGTATTATAAGGAACTGGATTACTAAAGACTATATAATATATAATAAACTACTGGACAGTTAATTGAGATAATACTCAAATGAAGCAAATAAAACCTATTAATAAACATTGCTGTTCTGTGACCAACACAATGGGATTGCTAATTCGATTCCTGTAGGGTGGGAGCCACTGCCACAGAAAGGAACAGTTACATTACGGCTGGTAACACATTAAGAAATCTTCGCCCAGCCGCCTAGAACTGCCGACACAAGTTATCAAAGTCAAAGTAAAATGAAACCATATATTCTGCAGAATTGCATACAGTTGCCATCTTAATGATTGAGGGTACAGCCAGAGTTTCTTAAGTGAGTCAGAAATCTATCCAGTGAGGATTGGGATGACCCCCACTGCTCCAAAGAGAGGACAATGGTCCTCGTTTGGAAGCAGAAGGAGATTGAGAAAAGAAAATTGGCCACATCCCCATCCTCGCGTGACTGAGCATGCCTAAGATGTTTGGACTCTTGGGATCACTAGTTAAATTCAAAATAACTCTGATCTGATCAATTATGCAGTATTCCTGGGCTTCCAAATTGAGTATAGCTAAATAAAGTTGCTGTATTTCTCGAGTTTTGAGTCAAATATTATTAACTATGCAAGGAGCTCTGCAAACTTGTGTCCTGCTCAGTCGGCCTTCGGGCCCGACATCTCACAAATCTTATTTAAATTCATCACAATTCACTGTTTAGTGCATAATCCTTAATATTTTTTTAGTGCATGCATACATGATGCATTACAGTAAGTGAGTGGTAAAATCTACCCTGGCATGTTTCTCGAAAATTATATAATATAAAGGATCACTAACGCTACCCAGACCACGTCATCTCAATGAAGTTGTCTGACTGTAGTGGTTCTGTAGTTCTAACTCTTTAATGTAAAACAATGCTGGTTTGGAAAAATGACAATGTCTACGTTAGTGGGTTCAAAACCCTTCTAGTGGCTCTCTATTAAAACTCTGCTCTTAAATGAAATGCAGCTGATAGTAGCATTTGATTTGAGGAGCATGGCATTTTTCCGCGCATTTTTTCTCGTCCCCAATGCTTCTCTACTGGACGAGATCGAGGTGTCTCATGCCAGAAACCAGGTTTAAAAAAAAAAAAAAGGGATAAATATTTAATAAAAATTACTGTTATCTTTAGGACCATAGGAACTTTTTAATTTGGCACTGTGGTTTTTGTGACCTTGTTTAAATATAGAACTTACAAGAATCGAGAACCTATACCTGAATCTCAAAACATACTTTGTTGTGTACTATGACTAGGTGGGGCTGGGAAACTTCAATTTCGAATGTTGGAATCTTTATCCCTGAATATTTTTGGCTAGAGGATTTGGTACTCCCTGCCAGGTCTTTTCATTCATTCACAGCTGGGAGCAGCCCCTGGCCTAAAATAGATGAAGGGGCCTAGCAGGGAGCTCAGTGACTTTACAAAGATGCAAGGGCTACCCAGAGCATGGTAGGACAAGGGTAAGGGAGGAGATATGTATTTCTGTGTCTTTGTGCTCAACCCCCAGGTATTTTCGCGAAGCTAGCTCAATGTCTCTAATACTTTGCAAACAATGGACTTTACAGAACAATCACCTGCCATTTGTCAACTTTAATAAAATTTTGTTTTGTTATAAAAACATGCGTATTCTCACAAATGTTGGCAGTTTGGTCACTTTTGGTGTGTAAAGTTATTCAAGGCAAGATAATCTTGTTGGAGGTATTTTTTAAATGATTTACATTTTTATCCCTAGGATTTTTACCTTTTTGTAAAAGTGTGACCTGTGTATGGCTTGGAAAATAAAAAAAAATATGTTTAAGGCTCTTAAAGGCTTTACTTTAAAATGCTGGATTAGTGGACCACCATTATTGGAACATTTCAATATTAAAAACAATTTAAGCAATTATATTTATTTTTAACACTGGTGTGTTCTTTTTTTAATTTTAGATATAGGATCTCCATTTTTCGTAAAAAAAATCTGTTTAATGTACCTTTTCTCTCAACTCCAGGCCGATCTGCCCATTGTAAGATCATCAATACTATAATTGTATTTCTCAGTAATGGCATGGTTTTTATATGCAAGGCTTCAAGGGCAGCATCCATGATTCAAAATCCTTTAATTAACACGTAGTAGTTTTGGTGCTCAGACTATGAATTTAACCTACAGGAGAGGTTGTTATTGATTGATTGGTCATTGCAAACGAGTATACAGAAACTGTAGACTCTAAAATGTTACTTTCAACAAACACGAGAAACTTAGGTTGTACAGTAATATTTATTATATATACATTGTATTTACAGAATATAGTCCAAATGAACAGAAGTATTTGGCTAGTTGAATTTTTTAATATATATACAAATGTACATCTCCTATACGGAATAGGAAAAAACCTCTAAGAATATTTATAAACCTTCATTAATATGTTTAAGAAGAGACAGACTTCAGCCACCTAAATCCTAAACAAAATCTAGGTTCAAAAAATATTCAGCTGTACAGCTAAATTATATTAAATAATATCAAATTATTTAACCAGGATGTTTTCACTGATTTTCCTGTAAGCACATGAGACACTTTCTTGCCAAACTAACAAAAGAAAGATATTCAATTATAAACTGAACTTTAACAAAATATATAATATTCTATAATACATAACGTTCTGAAGTCAAAACACTGATACTTAATCACATTAACTCTAAAATGATAAGCTATTAAAGGGGAAGTGCCACCTAAAATTACATGGAAAAAAATTATGCTCACTTACGTATGTTGTTTGTGCAAATCAAGACTATACATTTTCTCTATAACAATAACTTAAATGAACACTCAGGCACCATAACAACTTCATTGGAATGAAGTTGTTATGGTGCCAAGAGATCACTGCTGCTGGTTTAACTTTAGGGGTTAAGCTGTTCACAAATGGTTTAACCTCAATGTCCACTAACAAGCGTCCAATCTCTCTGCCTTTCGGCACAATGTGCAATATACTATATAATTCTACATGGCACCTCTCCTATAAAAAGTCTGTTGAGCAGACTCTATACACATTATTTATCACATTGGTAAAAGAAATACATACTATTAATATGTACTTAACCCTGCAAATGTACTTTGAAAATCCTCAGCATCACCAATAACTTTGCTAAGACACTGGTTTATTGACGTTGGCTTTTTAGTTATTAAATGTTCAATTTCCTGATCAAATAGATGGATAGGCAAATTTTTCCAATTTGACTATTGCATCCTAGTTAAATCTTTAAGCAGGTGACATTATGCTTATGACATTCAGAGTCACTTCTAATATCAGTGTCACTAGTGCAACATGGCCTGCATTGCTTAGTGGCACGTCTGCAGGTAAAGTGCCACGTTTTTCAGCATTCTTCAGTACCACATAAATGGACATCTTCAGCTAATTTCTCCAAACAGAGATAAGTCAAAATCATGAGGTGTATTTTTTTGACAGAATCCTAAACGTCCAAGTCATTTTACCAAGACCACGGTATTTACGTCTCACATTTGCAAGTCTTTATTGCGAACACTGATCGTATATGTCCATTTCTGCTCCTGAATGTGTGTGTATCGTATTCTTCGGGGACACATCCGTTTCGAGAAGCTTCCGCCCACACTATACATTGATCTTTGTTCCGAGAATCCCTAGAAGAAATTTGGAAACATACGTAAATGATCGTGTTCATCAGGTTTAGGTACAAGCTTATTATTGAACACAAAATATATAGATCTGGTGGAAGGTAGTAGTCCAAACACATGATCATTAAGGAACACACAAGAGCTGTTAAAAAGGATATCAGATATTTGGAGAGTGAAAAGAAACAGCTGTGCTTACCTCAGTAGACAATGATTTCCTGACGAACAGTTTCCTAAGCACCTTCCCACGTCAATTTCCTGGAAAATTTACAAAACAAAGCAATTCACACAATATCCTCAATTCTATTGTAAACGCAGAAGGCAGCACAGACACAAACTAGTTTGCATGCAACATTTCTACATACACATCTGGTCAGAACAAAACAAATATAATGCAGGGGTGTCCTAAGGTGCTAACTTTGTATGCACTAAGTTAAACCTTTGGGTGGAGAGCAACACATGGCTATGGATAATTCACTGGATTATTTTAATTTAATACATTAAATGAATTGTGTAACTAATACAATTACTAGATTTAACAAGTATAATGTCAGTAAAGAGAATTCTCTTCCAGATTGTATTGTGACAAACCGTTCTGATAGTTTAAAGGGCACTGTTATGGTACCAGACGTCCCCTGGCATCATTCGGCAGTATATTCGCCAACTGTCTAACTGTTATGAATGACCCACTTTGTTTCTACTCTGAACTAATATTGCAAAGCAGAAGTTCATACTTCCACATTATCATACTAACACATTATTTCAAAGAAAAAAAATGATGCTAGGTGTAATTGTGAAAAATATGCTAAAATAGGCATTTGGCAGGAATAATCTTGAGAAATACTGCTATGAATTATATGTGAATACAGCAAAACAATATTTAACAGACAAAATAAATCAGATTTCATGTATTCTGAGAACAACTCTGAAAGAGCAAAGTATTTAGGTCAGTGGAATTTGTTGATGAATAAACAAATTCAGACTAAAATTAAATTAAGACACCAGATAGATCATTCACCCCCCACGTTGGCAACACATATAGTTATTAAACATTAACAAAGTGAATGTAATATAGAAAATGAATTGCCCATGACTTTTATATGAAGGGAAACAGGACTCAGAGATCACTTTTTGGGTATAAGTATGGGTGACGGAGATGACCAAATGGATAAAATAGTAGCTAAACTCTCCCAAACCAAACATAACATAGACACGAACTAGACTAGAACATCACCTAGACTAGAATGGAAATGTTCTACTTCTGCAATTTGGAACCTGAATAAGCCAGGTACTGGTACACTTATAATATTCTACAATATCATATGAGGAAGAACATATAGAGGACATATAAGAGTGTACAGTGTGTTACTGGAAAATAACACTATTAAATAAACCACATGACCAAATATCTCGAGAACCCCATTAAGTACATTTTAAATTAGATTATTAGTTAATGTTAGGGCTCCTTTAATCTTAGGGCAGCACTAAGACTTGTAGTGCCTGTCCTACTAGTGATGCAGACTAAGGGAGACGTTAGGGAGACAATTGTTTCTGTCTACTCAGCCCCTTGTCCAGCATACATTAGGATTGTAACTCTCACTAATCATGGCAGACTAGGATCTGTGTGTCCCAGTACTTCCCTGTGATTAGAGGTTCCTGTATTGCATTTCGAGAGACATCCATGCAATACAGGTTTAGAAACATGATCTGTCAAATGACAAAAGTCTCCTGATCTATTCATTAAACTGTACGATTATCCAACATTAAAGGGTCTCTGTTATTTTTCGGTATTTGTGTGGGAGCCTCCACAGATCCATTTGTTTCTACTTTGTCTTATAGTATCTTTGGAATGCATAGTAATTTAAATGAAGTTCCAACACAGCCAGCATGAGTATTTCATAAAAATTATAGATTTATGAAATACTCAGAAGTGCAGAGCTGCACTAGGGATCTGAGTTTCGGATGGTTTTTACGTTTTAATGCTTTCAGGCTTTTGGCATTTGTTTTCACAACAGTGTTCTGTTCTAAAAAGTAAAGCAAAAATGTAAAAGGGGAGAAATCATCAATTGAATGAATGTGTATGCTGGCTCCCATGGTGATTGTCTCACCTTTAGAACTTCACATTACTTTTTACAACATAAAATGTTTATATATCTCCATCACTGTTTTATTTTTTTTTATTTTTTTTACATATTTGTTAATGTTTATCCCTTTTATCCACTTTAACTTTCTAAAACATTGATTCAGTGCAGCACTGTTTCAAGCCATTGAATGTGGCATGCAGTATTTCTAATATGCTCGATTGAGCAGGGTCCTCAACTACCTATTGTTCCTATTACATTTAGTTATTGTCTCATTTGGTAAATTCCCCTCTTATTGTAAAGCGCTGCAGAATAAGATGGTGCTAGCTGGCGCTAAATACCAATAATAATAATAATAATATGCAAACATATAAAGCTGGCTGGAATAAAACAAATGTAAAGACGGAGCTTTTTGGAATAAAATAGTAACTCTTTACACATAATATTAAAGGGACACTGTAGGCACCCAGACCACTTCAGCCCATTGAAGAGGTCTGGGTGCCAACTCCTATCACCCTTAACCCTGCAAGTGTAAATATGGCAGTTTTTACCTGCTAGGGTTAAGTCCTCCTGTAGTGGCTATCTACCAGGCTATCTACCAGGAGCATGCGCGGAGCCTGACCCAGCGCCGAGGGACATCTGCGATGGATTCAGGCAAGTGACTGAAGGGGTTTTAACCTCTTCAGCGATGTGGGATGGGGGGCGGGAGGGAGAGGGGCACTCCAGTATTCTCTAGTGCCAGGAAAACGGGTTTGTTTTCCTGGCACTGGAGGATCCCGTTAAACATTTGAATGTACTGCAACATTATGCCTCTTGCAGCTTTTTACAGTTTTAAATGTTATGGTATTTGCCATAGCTCCCAACTTTCCCTATTTAGGAGGGAAAGTCCCTATTTTTTGGCCCAAATCACTCTGTCCTTCTTTTCTATCCTAATGTCACCCTTTTCTTTCTAAGAGCTCCATATTGTTGGTGTGTCTGACAGTATAACAGCTTCACAGTAATAATACCAAAAGTGATGTGTCATTAAACTGGAATAAATTTGTTTAGAAATCAGTCTATGTAAAAAAGGTGCATTATCCTCATTTTCAATTACATTTTAGTCACATTCATTATTATTAGTAAGTCACCTAATATTTCTAAGAATAGACCCTACCATGTGCACAACCCCACTGACACAACACTAGAATTAAAGTGTCCCTATTTGCCCAGTTGAAATGTTGCCTTTGGCACATAGGACTGTCTGTGGGACGTGGTTTAACCAAAAAAATTAAAAAACTTACAGGGTTTTAGCAAATTACATTTTAGTGGATGAGGAATTGTTTCCCCTCCTTCGCTTTTCATTGTTTATCCTTTTTCCTTAGTTATTGTCTTTGTTCAAAAAAATTATTTAAAAATGTTTAATAATAATTATTTGAAAATGACTTACTAAGGAGATTTGGGGAAATTCTACAACTGAGCTACAGTTGTAGCTTTTAGCCCCAATTTTGCTCATTAATTTTAACTTGCTAAAATTTGGACTTAAGTGAATAACCCTGTCATTTTTACAATGGTATAGTAAAAAGTGACAACAATTCTTCCAAACTACAATCTAAAACTAACCCTGGTAATGATGTACACATTGACCTGCATACTTTTGTAGCTTTGCATTATACTTTTGTAACATTGCATTTTTCAGACTGCATACTTTTGTAGTTTTGCAATAAAATATATATTTAAAAACAGAAAAAAAAAACATTTCACACATTTGTCACAGTTTACCTTAAGCCTCTCTTCTTTGACACCTTTTGGGTTGTATATTATTTCATAGTGATATTCTAGATAGCTAACTCTATAACATTTTTCTTTCATTTCACAGTTTTCCACAGTTTTCACAACTTCGGCTCCATTTGGGCTTTCAACAATCACTGAGTCAAATTTAGTCGGAGAACAAATGAGACCTACAAAAGGAATTGGAAATAATTAACTTTTTCCATTTGATAAACATGAACATGCATTTATATTTCCAGGTAATCAGTGACAATATTCAGTTTCCTTTCCAAAAGAAACTGTAGAATGGCATTAAGTTAATTAGAAAACAAAAATAAAATGAAGAAATGTCATGTCAAGCAGAACCACAGTTATCTCTTCCATTACTTGGTAAAGATATGGTATAATTGAGGTATAACTTACTAAATTAATTTCAAATATTCATAGTTTAATTTAAGACCATCTAAAACTTGGATTGATTTTCCAATTAAATACTAGAAAATCAATCTTTACGTTTGACGAGCAACAATCTACCCCTTTTGCCCGATGATCAAACTCTAATCAAACAACGTCTTTTCAGAAATTGATATCTTACATAAAATTGAGTTAAGCGTTACTATATCGTCACTGTTTTAAACAAAAAAAACATATGTAATGATTCCTGTATATGCATATTGTAGAAAGTATTTACCTGTAGAGTCTTGAGGATCTGAACATTTACCAACATCTACTGTTGTCTCCAAAGGTGTCTCTGGAAAGAAGGTCTTAAGATAAGGCATTCTGATACATTCTTCTGGTACCAGGTTGCACTGACAGTCTTCTATAACCTCTACCTCTTGAATTCCTTCATACAACAGTACTCTTTCTATCCCAACTTTTGTTGGTTGGCAGCTAGATGCTTTTGGACATGAAGGCTCTGATCCTGGTGGGTTTGAAGCATCTGGAATTTTATCTCGTACCTGCAAACAATCAGGGAGTTAACATACATTGTAAACTGGTCATGTAAAAATCTGATGTGTTGCTATAATAAAAAATATACAGTTATTAATTCTTTAAGTTATACATTTATTTATGACAAACTATCAGCGACATTGTTCCTAAGAGAATATAACTATTTTTGAAAGAGGAATACTAACAGCGTTATTCACTTAGGTGAGAATTCGAAGTGAATTTAAAATGTAAAAAATCCTCTATGCTTTCAGTTTGAATACTCAAGACATACATTTGAATTCTCACTTTATTGAATTACCCTGTTAATTAATAGTGCTGTCACTAGAACGCTTAGAGGACTCCCATGAGTTCCTGTTAGCTGTCGATTACATTTTAATCCATCCCATTTGATAAGTCTGGGTTATGTTTCACAACTTTTAAATGAGGCTACATATTTTAGTTGCCTAACAAGGTATAAATCTTTTTTACTTCTAAACGTGAAGTCCATGAAGGATAAAACAATTAGAAGTGGCATAAATGATTAATAAGGTAGTATATTGGAAAATAAAGACATCACCCATGCAACACCTCAACATTTATTACTGGTACGTTGTAAAAAATACCCAGTGGATTGTATTAATGCAGTAACAAATGAGAAGAGGAATAGAAAAAGATGGCTAATCCATTGAAATATAATCCGATATTCAAATAAACATAATTTTTTCTTATTAAACATTGTATTTACCTTCTTGCTTCTTATAAAATCCAACATAGAAGAATGTTTTGGAACACCATGGTTGTATGAATTTACTCTTTGAGGACCACCACAATGAGATCTGCAGAGCCCAACATCCACACTTACTGGGCCGCCAGATATATCTATAAAATAACACAAATAAATACAACAGATCAACAGCGGTAACAAACATGCATGAATGGATAAGTTATTTTTTTAGACTAAATGTAACAAGATAATTTTTTTTTTACTTCAGATGCAAATTTGATATAGAATTAAACTGCTAGATATTTTTCTCATACATCTAATATTTGATTTAAATTCTTTGAGAATTTATGTTGAATCAACCTAAAGTTTATGTAGTGGAGTGTCGGAACAAATGTGCACATCGCAAGGACTTTGACAAACATTTCTTGTTATATCAATAATTCCTTAGCACAAAATTCTTCACAATTTGCTACAAACTCACCTTGACCAATGTAAATAAAATTGCTCTGTCTTTTACAGCAGCCTCTCTCTGCAAATAAGTTCCTTTTTTCACTTTGCTTGTTGACAGCCCCATCATCTATTTATTTTTTTTAAAAAAGAAAGCATATTTTGATTAGATTGGATTTTACACAAAGCACTAGTTTATAAAGATAATTCGGCAAAAACAAAGTACTGGGTCCAAGAATGTAATTTAAAGGTACAATAACAACTAATATGTACAGGGTACACACTTTAAAAAGCTTCATAAAAACACACAGTTTATTAGAGGTGTACTTACATGCAGTACAGAGAGAGCAGAGCAAGCTGCAGACATATAGGAGTAGTAGAAATAGTTGATCCATGGTCTTAGTGCCTGTGTTGCTTGTAAGATACTGAATGGAACTTCATTTTTGACATAGACTTTTATATCCTCATGGGAGACAGATCTAACAGTTATATTGAAAGCATAGCTACAAGAGGCTGCTTAGATTTCAATCTTAATACAACACAAAAGTGGTGTCAAAAAACCTTAACTAATTGAATTTTACCATTTAAATGTGTCAGGGGTTGTGTTTGAGGGCCACTTCAAAGGGCTGTTTTAAATACTAAATTATCCCTCAAGCTGGGTTCATCTTTTGAATTCATTTACTTGCTCAGCTTGAGTTGTAGGCAAAAACCACTAGTGCCAGCCAAATGAAGACTTAAGTAGCTCGGAGTCTCCACTAAGTCTCCTCATATGAAAGGGATTGTAAACACTTTAAAGTCATTCATTCGTCACAGTTGTCTTTTGTCAACAGTTTACAAAAACTCTCACAACACTTTCCACTGACATCTAAATTCACAACGTCTCTTTCAGGCTGTGAACAGAGATTGGAGGCTTTGTAGAAATAGTCAAATGTTACTACACAGTAATAACAACAAGGTATAATTAATAATGAAATCCTCAGAGATACGGCAACCACGGTAACATATGAGCTCACCAGTTAGAAAATAAACATTTCAATAGCCACAACGTACAAATACCATCTTTTTACACATTTTATTCCAGGATAATATTGATTTAAATTACTACATTCTTCATGTTTTTACAGAATATTGGTAATACACATACATTAAATATAACAGTATTTAGGGATGAAATATTTAACTATGAATTACTGTTATTTCCATTAAAAAAACTCTGACTATGAAATAAAAAATAAAAATAAATACATATAAGTATATAGTGTAGATTGGATTAGCCGTATTAGTCCAGTAGACAAGATGCCAAAATACCAGAGTATTGCAGTATGTAATGATACCTTTTTTATTGGACTAACATAACATTTCAAAGACAAGCTTTCAAGAGGTTTCCTCTCTTCCTCAGGTCTGAAGCAATTGCAATTGACCCTCAGGAGTGACCTGGATGTGGTGGCGGTGGCACGGGGGCTTTATTGAAGAATAGGGTATCCGATAAGGGGCGAGACAAAGTCAGGGGGTCCATAAGTCAGGGCTGGCAGTGAAGTCCGAAACAAGCCAAAGTCAGTATAACAAGAAAGACAATCACGAGGGAAAAAACAGGAGTAAGAAATAATAGGACAACAGGAACAGAGCAGGTATTGCCAGGAGTCACAGCAAGTTGCTAAATAGCCAAGGAACTGTTGGGGTGTGCGCTTGGGTTTTATAGGCTAGTAGGGTCACATGACACATTCTTACGTATAGGTGGGCTCCAAGTGACATCCATAAATCAGGGCCAGGGAGGTAGCGTCATCTTGGATGTTTCGGTGTCGCTTCTGTTCCACAACCACATCCACCACTGCTCTGGGTTCCTCAGGCATTTCCAGGGGAAGCCCTGCATGGAGGTTGCCGTCTTAGATCGATGGTGCAGCTGTCCTGCCATCAAAGGATCAGCCATGTGGACACTGAGAGCACTCAGGGACAGGTAAGTACCGTCATTTGTGCCAATTGTGTATTGATTAATCAGGATTGTGTGTGTTTCTGGTTGATTTTGTTGGATTGAAGTACATTCCATTCACAAAAAAACTTTTTTCACTAGTTAGCAGATATACCCTGAAAAATCATGCATGCATAAAAAATAAATAAAAAAAAATAAAAAAAATAACAGCAGATCTCCCCGTTCATTTTATTTAATAGCCTTCCCCTGAATGCTATAGGTGGGGGCATGGGGTGGACACTATCTCCCCCCATTTTATAATTTTTTTAGCTGCCCCACCTTGCGATTCCCCCTTTTATTTAATTAGCAATTAGGAAGTAAAAGGTTAGCTGCCTAGTTGCTAGTCTTTTATGACAGAGAGGAGCTACTGGCTTCTCACAGTTTAATAGACATGCCCCTACATGGCGGCATGGCGAGTAGCAACAGGAAGGCTTTAACCTCCCTTATACTAATACGAAGTTCATATGACCCACACAAACTTAATTTAGTTAAACTCCCTCTCCAGCATCATTGGGTGAGGGGGGTCATGGGGAGATTTAGGAAGAGGTGGGGAGAAGACCTCCCCACCTCTTCTATTTTTAAATATTCAAATTACAAGGAGGGAGGCAGTAGCTCCCTCCTTGTAAAAAAACAAATTAACAAATTACATGGATTTTGTCCAACAAGCAATGGTTTTGTTTAATTAGTTTATTTGTCTTGCAGAAGAATGGACGATTTGACGAGAATTCAGACGGAACTGTATTTGTCCTAAAATGAACAACTAAGTCTATTAATTTCTATTGAAATCAGCACTTTTTTTAAACTGCAAAAAATTGACAGACTCCAGTTCCATAAAATAATTTATATGTTTGGAGTTTTCCTTTAATTTATGACAGACTGTTTGCAGATAATTCCCTATCCCACACATGCACCGACAGCACCGACATGAACAATAATTATTATTTATTATTTATAAAGTGCCAGCATTCTGTAGTGCTGTACAATGGGAAACAATTCTGTATTTGTGGGTAGAAAGCAATAACAGATACTTCGTAATAAGAAGGTGAATGGACAGGATGAGACCAAATGTCAACCAAAAAGGCGTGCATTGGACCTTCATTGATAACATTGCTGGATGTATGTAAATTTCTGATGAGCTTTTCAACTTAGCTAGTGATATGTCTGCAAGACAAGCCCAGGCAAGAACTGTTATCTTAAAACCTGCCAATCACAGAGTTAGAAGAGCTCCCTGGATAGGAGTATAAATAGCTCTTTCTAGTGAAGCTCTCATTTTTAGAACCTCCAGCAATAGTAAGTAGGAAATTATTTTTTAAATTTTATTATGTGATTTTCACTAGACTTATCAGCATGTTTGGGTTGTTTATGTATTCTTAGTAGATCCTCCTTAAAATATGTGAAACTAATTTTATTCAGAAAGTATTTTGACCACTTTTTAAAAAAATTATTTATTTTTTAAAAAAAATTTATGATGCAGCCATATGCTAAAATTGCCAAAATTATTTTTGTTCACATCAATCTACTCCATGATAACAAAGCAAAAAAAACTGATTTTTAAAAACTTAAAAACTTTAATTAAAACTTTGCAAATTTATTTAAAGAAAAACAAACTGAAATGGTACTGAAATATGGCATAAGTATTCAGACTTTTTGCTATTGAGATGCAACCTGTTCTCTGGATAATCTTTGAAATGTTTCTACACTTTGATTTGAGTCCACATGTGGCTAATTCAATTGATTACGTGATTTAAAAAGGCAGACGCCTGTCTATATAAGCTCTCACAGCTGTAAATGCATATCAGACCAAAAACCAAGCCAGAAGGTCAAATGAAGACAGGAGACAGAATTGCATAGAGACTACAAAAAAAGAATTCTGCTGCATTAAAGGTTGCCATATTGGCCACCATAATCTTTAAATGGAAGAAGTTTGAAACACACAGCACTTTTCCTAGAGCTGACCATCCGGACAAATTAAGCAATTGGAGGAGAAAGGAATAGACATGAGAGATAACCAAGAATCTGATGGTCACTTTAGGTGAGCTCCAGATCGTGTGCAGAGATGGGAGACGCTTAGAGGACAACCATCACTACAAATTCTATCGATCTGGCCTTTATGGCAGACTTGACAGATGGAAGCCTCTCTTCACTGCAAGACCTATGAAAATCTGCTTTAAATTTGTTTTTAAAAATAAAGCTTCTGGACTGATGAAATGAAGATTGAACTGTTTGGTTTCAAATTCAAAGCATCATGTCTGAAGGAATCCATGCACTGCTCATCACCTGCACAATGACATGCCAACGGTAAAGCATGGTGGTTGTAGCATCATGTTTTGAGGTTGTTTTTTTTTTTTTAGCAGTAGTTACTTGGAGACTGGTCACGGTAGATGAAAATATGAAAGAAGTAAAATAAAGAAAAATACAAAAATATCCTTAATGAAAACCTGGTCCAGAGCCCTCAGGACCTCAGACTGGGCTGAAGGTTCAACTTCCAAAAGGACAATGACCCTAAACATGCAGTCATGACAACACAAGAAGGGCTTGTGGACAACTCAGTCAATGTTCTTAAGTGGCCCAGCCAGATCCTGGATTTGAACTCTAGGTGTGCAAAGCTTGTTGTATTATATCCGAAAAAACTTGAGACAGTAATCACTGCAAGGTGTTTCAACTAAATACCTTACATATATGTCAATGTGCTCTTGCATGTATGTCTGTTTAGTATATTTACAATGGTGTCAAAAATCTGTTGTTTTTTTCTGTGGCATTATAGGGTATAGAGTGTAGATTGATATATACAAAATTATAACATTTAAGCAATTGTAGCATAAGGCTGCAACATAAAATTGGTAAAATAAAGGTGTCTAAAAACATTTTGAATGCACTATATATAAATATATATACACTGAACAAAATTATAAACGCAGCACTTTTGTTTTTGCCCCCATTTTTCATGAGCTGAACTCAAAGATCTAAGACTTTTTCTATGTACACAAAAGGCCTATTTCTCTCAAATATTGTTCACAAATCTGTCTAAATCTGTGTTAGTGAGCACTTCTCCTTTGCCAAGATAATCCATCCACCTCACAGGTGTGGCATATCAAGATGCTAATTAGAAAGCATGACTATTGCACTGGTGTGCCTTAGTCTGGCCATAATGAAAGGCCACTCTAACACAGATTTAGACAGATTTGTGATTTATATATATATATATACATGGCTCACAGCTGTTACTTGCAACAAGTCATTGGAGAATGAAATTACTTTAATTTAATTACCTGAAGACCATGTCATATAACTACAACAGGGTTATTTACTAAAGTGTGAATAGTCAAAAATTCAGTGTGTATTGAAAGTGAATGTTACAATTAAGGTCTAAATAAGCCATATTCTTTAAGACTGCTGTGTTTTCATTTCTGCTATTTTGGCCTAATTAGAAGTTTACTTTGAATTCACATGCAAAGAAGAAAGTAGAAAGTATCTGCATTATGTCAGTGTGTGTCCATGTATCTGTATGTCAGTGTGTGTCAGTCAGTGTGTTTTCTCAAATAAATTACACTTTCCCTGTCACCTGCGCAGTAAAATAATTAGTCAATGTCTGTCAGTGTGTCTGTGTATCAGTGTGTGTATCTGTATGTATGTCAGTGTATGTGTCTCTGAATCAGTGTGTGTTTGTGTGTGTGTGTGTGTGTGTGTGTGTGTATCTGTATGTCAGTGTGTATATGTTGGTGTGTCAGTGTGTCTATGTGTGTCAGTTCTTGTATCTGTGTGTGTGTCTATCTGTATGTCTGTCCGAGTGTTTATCTGTGTATGTGTGTGTGTATGTATATCTGCATGTGTGTCCGTGTGTGTATCTGCATGTGTTAGCATCTATGTGTCTTTCTATGTGTATTTGTGTATCTGTGTCTGTTTCAGTGTGTGTACGTGTTGTCAGTATGTGTGACTGGATATCTGTGTGTCAGTGTGTGTATATGTGTGTATGTATATCTGCATGTGTGTCAGTGTGTATACATCTGTGTGTCAGTGTGTATATCTTTGTATCTGCATGTGTTTCATTGTGTGTGTGCCTGTGTATGTATGTCAATGTATGTGTATATGTGCATACATTTCAGCATTCAAATGCCAACACTACACACATACAAACCCCTGCATTTAAATGTCAGTACTACATACAAACACACCTCTGTATTAAAAAAACAAAATTATATATAAACACCCCACTGCATTCAAAAACTACACTACACACAAATTCACACAAACATACTACATACAAAAACATCCTTACTATTAAATACACAAATACTACTCAGTGCTGAATACAACTCTGCAAACATGGGAAAATGGTAGAACTCCAGCTGTCAAAGTATTGTATGACAAGTGGGGATCTACCTTTGGGCCATTCTTGCATCAGGGCCCTCTCTACGTTGGTTCCATCACTGGTGCAAACCACATTGCTCCCCCATCAAACTATCAGAGAAGGCTCTTCAGTGGACCAACATGGAAAGCTAAATGAGATGGGGGCAAACACACAAACTCAGACACTATATACACACACAACATAACACACACACACAGCTTTCACAGAAACAGAGCCCAGGGCTCTAGAAGGGGCCCAAACCTGGCCCCCTGCTTAGTATCCTGGGTGACCTTAATCCAGCTCTGCCTGTAGGATTTTGTCAGAAAATGGATGAGTGGCAGTTTTCTCAAATAAATTATAATTTCCCGGTCACCTTAGCAGTGATATAATTAGTGGGTGCATATGGTACTATATAAGCTCCCCAAAATCCCTTGGTAAATTGCTGCTGCCATCTACCTCGATACTCTTTAGAATTTAGGTCTAAACTATTTTTGTCATGGAGTGTCATGTATTCATAAAATAGAGAGGAGTGGTTCCTCCCTAATCCTTGCAACTCCGATCAATGTGTAGAAGTTCAAATAATAATGTGACCTCTGTAATTACCCCCAAGTCTTTAATGGTGTAATTTAAATATATATATATATATTTATTTATATCTCCATCCACATGAATAAGCAATAAAATAACATATCACAATACAAGATATCAGGTTGTATAGAGACAGATACACAACACGCGGGAGGAGGCATTTTAGTGAAATAAAAGTATACTCTTTGCTTTATGTTCAACTATAGGCACTGTGAAAAAAAACAAAGAAAAAAATAAACTGACAGCAGTGTACTGTGATGTCAAAATGTAATCCATTACATCACAGGGCCTATTTGCTATATGTAGCCAATGGCAGACAGGAAGTTATTAGACTGTCTGAGAGCTAAGTCTAGGGAACACAATTGCATTGCTGCAAGTGAAGTATGGCACCTCAACTATGCGGCTATAAAACATTAAATATTATCGCTATGCGGTGTAATTAAGTCTCCAGTAGGAGAAACGGGCAATGTAAGCCCACAGCGGAAATTGTGCAAGGTATAATAAGTACTTACAAGTTAGCAATAAATCAATAGTAAATTCAAAGTCTGAAAATCAGTAAATGAAAACATAAAAAACGTGCTCTAAGCAAGTCTTAGGAGAAAAGTTACAAATGCCAATACACAGCAGCTCAGATGACAGCCATGTCCTGTTTGCGGTATCAGGATTTGCAATGTGGAATGGAGCAATGTTGCCTATGTCCCAGGTTGGTGTTGGGATAGATTGCTGCTGTACTGCAGGGTTGTGGTGCATGACCTAGGCCCAAATCCTTCTTAGTAAGTTTGGTATCTCCTAGAAGGGAACAGTTTCCAGGAATCCTCAGAACCAAAGTCTCTGCCATTGCTGAGAATCTTCCAGTAGAGCTAATTTCGATTCGAAATACTGCTGGATTTGCCTCATAGGCGCCATCTCTTTAGTTAGGACTTGATTTTGGCCCTTATATTAATCTTCCTCTACCATATGTATTTGGCCCTCTAGTGCACGGACCACTTTTCGAATAATCAAGAGATCAGTATCAAACATGGCCTTCATCTCTACCAGCAGGATCTTAATATGAGCTTTGCATGCTGGTATGTGATGGTCATCTGCAGAGCCCTCACAAGCATCATCTGTTTCAATCTCTTAAGCAACAAAGTGGGACCAACATGTCTCGAGGTGGAACTGCCAAACTTAGCTCCCAACAAGATGTCCCTGGACTCTTCCAAAGCTGTGCTTCATCTGGGTCTTCCAAAGAGCTACTTCCCGAAGGCTCCCATGGTGGTGTCTTTTTGGTAGAACACAGCCTAGGTGGCAGCTGGAGCAAGTCATCTATATGTTGACTTTTCAGGTGTGCATTGCCTATCAACTGCTTAGACTTGCGCCTCATTCTTCAGGAGCTGCTTGGGGAGCAGTAGGGAACAAAAAAAACAAACACTAAAATAAAAAAATTGGCTGTGCCTGCTCTCGAACAAATTAAGACCCTTAAATAGCCACAATGCTTTTTCAGGTTATTTTTTTTTCTTTCTAAAATGATCACATTGGACCATGTGGACCATCAAGCAGATTATACAAAATGTCACTGAGTCATTTCCCCCTCCTATTATTTATTTTATTTATTTATAAAAAATGTATTTATTTATTTATAAAATATTTTACCAGGAAAGACACATTGAGATTTCTCTCGTTTTCAAGTATGTAAAGGTTGTCATGCTTCTATTTATCAGGATGTAAATATATTTGACTTTAACTTATTTACTTAGCCAGTAATGACGTGCAGGTAGTTAAATAGTTAGATTAGAACAAAAAGGCTTTGAAGTTTTGAAAGGGCTGCATAAAACACCCATGTTCTCTTTCAATAGTGCAAATAGATCAAAGGCCTGTTTTGTGTGGCTCCCAGGAGAGTTAAGGCAGGCTGAATACAAGGTTTAATAAAAAAATATATATGAAGTTACTGCATTTACTATATGTATAATAAAAAAAAGTATAAAAAGTATAACAAAGCTGTAACATATATAAAACCCTTACAATTTATTACTATAGGCTATGTAGGAATAACCACTATATTAAAGGACTTATTGTACAAAATAACGGATTTCAAGGCAATCAGACAGCTGAGATGGTGCTCTTCCTTACTTGCTTTGAGTACTTGCTCAAGGTGGAAGACACTGCTTCTCGATTAGAATCATTCTATTGTCACAGTGTGCAATTGCCATTCATGTACCATAGGACCTCTATGTTTCTCTATGCAAAGCATCAAATCGGACAGAAATTATGCAGAGCATTAAAATTATCCAACGAAAAACATCTAACTGCATGGCCGAATGACGCCTGGATTATCTTGGTACCATGACATATGACACCTGAACAGTAGAGATTTTCCCGGGGACAAGGTTGATTAAAATTAAAAAAATTAAAAACCTACAAAAACAACCATTTATTAGGTAAGCATTAGGGCATCTTGAAAATAGGTTTATCCTGAAACTGTGCCCCCTACATGTTCTGTCATTGGTGGGCCAGTCTGCTTTCACACCAGGCTGAACTGACAATTCTCCCCCTGTCTGACTGGGTCCACCCTCTTTGGTCGGTGCCAGTGGCATGATTTGCATCACTGGCCTATACTCTTTTAACACGCCCATGGGATGGCGATGTTTGGGAGAGGGTATGAGTGTGTATCAGCAGTTTAAGGAAGGATAAGATATCAATGCATGTGGATTGGGGGCTGGGTTTGGTTGGGAAGGGGAGGGATGCTGACACCAGCAGCAACCACCATAAGTAGGATCCCAATATGCAAATAAACCTCAATACACAACAATGACAAAGAAAAAAAAAGTATTTTATTCACAATAACAGAATAGCACATGCAAAACAAAAAGATTCAATACAAGTACACAGGCAAGCCTCTGGGACGCGTGTCTTCTGGATACATGCAGCAAGGCCTCATGGAGCCAGCGGACAGGATACAGAGATCAAACCTTAAACAAATCCAAGGAACTTGCAACCGAAAATGGGATAAGCCTAGACTCAATAGGGAGAAGATAATTACAAGGTAGGGTCAGCTGGTGACGCAGTCACATCTCTTTGGGTGCAGCAGCACCACAGCATGGTAGTGGCAATGTGAGGTATTGCAACAGATCTGAAAACTAGGAGGTATACATGGAATCTTAAAGTTAGCCTTTTTAAGGAGCAACTTCTAGGTTCTAAACCTGCCAACATTTCGCATAGGAAATAGAGGAGAAACCAGGAGGAAAGGGTTGCCCAGCCACCTCAAAGAAAGGAAGAGGTTCAGAAGGAACTGGCATAGTGAGGTTTTATAGTTTGCCGTACATGGCAGATGCAGTTTATATAATGACACAGGGTCCATTAGCTGAGATACAGGTTAACAGGTGATTGCATTACAGAACATAAGAATTACAGTCAGTTTTGTTCATAGGTATTACTGTAGCAGAGATCAATCCTTCCTTCTAAAACAAAAGTAATCTGTAAGCGACAAGTCGGGAATACTAAGGTCAGGATTGTCATATGAAGAATAATCAGACATAAGAGATTCAGCATTGACAAACTCGTTCAGAGATGTCTCTTTAGGAACATGCATTACCTTAGAGGTTGATCTTTGTATAGAAAGGTCATAGATATCCATTTTTGGTCTAGTCTCTGGTAGTTGCTTTTGGCAGAACTAGTAAGAATTCTTAATACTACTACAGAATTAGCAATGCAAGGATAGGAAATGCAACATCTTCAGAGACAGATCAGGTTTAAGCCTTTCCCCGCCCTGCGGAGCTCAGTCTGTGCGGTGCCCTCGCTGTGTAAAGATGGATTTATTTTTTTTAGTGTACGGATTTTTTTTCGGCGATCGGGTCTTTTTTTCTATTTTCAAAATTTAACGGACTTTATGAATTTTCATTTGGCCTTTTTTGGAGCTGAAAAAAGAAGGTTTTAGAAAAAAGAAGACATCGAATGGTAAGTATTTTTTTTTTATTTACAGGTAGTTAGGTTTATTGTACCCCCTCACTATTTTTAGAGTGAGGGGGATAGTTGGGCCTTTATTTTATTTTGATTTTTTTTTGGGGGGCGGGGGGTGAGTGACTAGAAGCTTGGGAACTATTGGGGTATATTTTTTACATTTAGCCTCCACCTTTCACCTATGGGTGGAGGCATGGGGGGTGGGCAATAGGTCCTCCTCCCATTGTCATTTAGGGCCTCCACCTGCCGCTCGTGGGTCAGGGCCGGGGGGGAACAATAGGTCCTGCCCTCATTGTCATTTAGGACATCCACCTACTGCTCATGGGTGGGTATAATAGGACCTCCCCCCATTGTCACTTAGGGCTGCCACCCGCCGCTCAGGGCTGGGGGGGGGTTTCAATTGGTCCTTCCCCCTATTGTCACTCACAAAAGGAAACAGGTATATTCCTACCTAAAGGATAAGACCAGGGACTAATTAACCCCTTAAGACCGCAGGGCGTTCTATGCCGTTATTAAGGAAGCGTCTCTAAATGCCGCAGGGCGGCATAGAATGCCCTGCGATCGTTTGGAATTACCCAGTCGCCGGCGAGCCCAGGCAGTCCCCCTCCTTCCTCTTCGGCCCCTTTGGGCCATGTGATCGCGAGGTCCTTGCAAGGACCACGCGATCACATGGACGGCATAGCCGTCCAAGGCATTGCAAGCAGGGGGAGTGCCTGTAATGACAGGTACTCCCCCTGCTGTCTGAAAAAAAAAAAGTTAAAACAGTGTAAAATTAAATAAAATATACTTAGATCATATATATGTGTGTATATGTGTGTATATATATATATATACACAAATATACACACATACACATAAATACACTAAGTGTATTTTAATATTAATATATATATACTTATATATATATATTCATATCAAAGTACACATACAATATTGACTAAATATATATATAATTATCATTATATCATTATATATATTTATATATAATAAAAAAATGTAAACACATAAATAAAATAAATAAAATAAAAAATAAATAAAAAATATATACTTGTGTAATTTCGTTCTAACTGTATTGTAAAATTAATATATATATATATATATATATATATATATATATTGATATCAAAATACATGTAGAACAAAATAATATATATCTAGATAAATAAGTATATACGTATATATTACTATATGTTTTAAGGCCATTTGGCCTGTATTTGTGGGAGGGGCTTAAATTAATTCACTCCCCTATATAAGGGACACCCCTTACCTGACTCATATCGCTTGAGGTCAGCATCAGAATGATTTCCACTTCCGGGTCATCCAGACGCCATTTTACCTGATTACTCCATGAGGTTTTCTAAGCTGAGCTGTGTCAGGAATCCAGCCACAGGCTTTTCCGGCCTACCACCTTCTTTCTTCAATCTATCGCTGTGGATGGTGTCCAAGTGACTCACAAACCGTAAGTCGACCTACCCGTTACGCCAGGCATCAGTCCCACGGCACCATGCATGGGTCAGGTCCTCACTTTACGGCTGCATTTTGTCTAAATCTGTCCTAAAACCATTGCATGTCCATGCATATCATTCGTTTAAATTCACTTGTTTATATCTGTCAATGGCTCATTTCGAGCATTAGCATACTCCCAAACGGGAACACATTCTGTTTCAATTGCCTAAACATACTAGGCAATTCTGTGCGTGCATTTCGAATCTCACTGCTCGTTTCGTTTTGTTTCCCTGGCATACCAGGCTCACGATTCGTGCAATTTTCTACCAAACGAGTACTAGTTCATGCATTTACTATTGTACTACACACACGCTTCGTGCGTTTACAACCATGAACAGAACTTTGGTTTGTTACAATGACTGTTATTAAGCTATTATGTTCACTTATTGTATATTGTCAAACGGGCACTGTTTGTTTCCCTGTCACACAACTATAATGCTGGGGCATAGCTCACAAACAATGTTTCACATAAACCACACTGACCCCTACAGGTCACTCTCAAAATCTCACATTAACCTTGCATTTGGATTAACCCCTTAAGGACCAAACTCTGGTATAAAAGGGAATCATGATATGTCTCACATGTCATGTATCCTTCACGGGTTAAAGGGTATTTTACCATACAATCAGCATTTCTGACCCCTACTGGTCAACAGCAAAACTGTCTTCACATGTCATATACAATTACCAGCCAATATAAATTACACATACACATAAGATTGTTTTAAACATAACCATAAACCATGAATTAAACTCCAACACAGGCTCAACTTCAGGTTTAATTCACAATAATTTACATTTCACATTAACACTAACAGTGGTTCTATCAACACTGCCACCTACAGGTCTGTCAAGTACATTGACAATTTTCATGGGGTTTTACAAACACCAAAACACTGACCCCTATAGGTCAACAGACAAACAACATTTCACATACAAATCAGTATCAACTACACTGCCACCTATAGGGCACTCGGCAGATCTCCATGTTCACTTGCATTTTGCAACTCCATGTTCACTTGCCATTCAATAAGGCATACAACAATTCACATAGCAAGCAGTATATCAATATCTGTTATAAATACATATATTATTACACAGTAGCACACGCATCTGTATATACGTAACTGGTAATATGGTTCACTTACATACGGCACTTAATGGGTTAAGATTGATACATATTTAACCAGTATGGATATGATGTTTAATATTTACATATCACGGCACTTTACTTTCACATATACTGTATGTTTTAAGATAAGCTTGGTCTATGCCATATTTCCTTATGCCATACGATTTTATCCATTCAGGTTACAGTTACTACTAAAAACCTATACGGATTGTCAGGTTCAATACCATACTACCAGGTACGTACACCTGCTCACGTAGTTATCCATCTCTTACCTTCCCTGGAATAGTAATAGTGTACCGGCAATTAGGGTTCTAGGGCCCAATAGGTATTATCCCCTTTTTTTCTCTGCATTATGCTTCGGTTAGTGGTCCCGCGAGGCCAACACCCCGCCTCACACTCGGAGGCATACACCCCTCGGGCCATTGTATCATAGAGAGGGCCTCACCTGTCACTCCCCTTCCTATTTTCTGGTTACTGTCACCGAGAGGCCAACATCCTGCCACAACGTTCGGTGGCCACACAAAATCCCCTCGCGCCAAGCATAGATAGAGCCTCTCAAGCCACTTGGCAACTAGCAGGGCCTCACCAGTCACCAAAAAACACCAAGCCTAATCGTTTCGCCTTACGGCTTAGCTAGCAAGCCGGTACAAGACCCCTGGGTACAAATATATAATTGCAATCTTTATTGTTATTTAAGTATTTCTCAAAAAGATGGTAAAGAATCACCTCTTCCTAGCACCACGGCTAGAAGTGATACACCTTCATCTCTTACCTTCCCTGGAATAGTAGTAATGTACTGGCAATTAGGGTTCTATGGCCCAATAGGTATTACCTCCTGTTTTCTCTGCTTTACGCTTTGGTTAGTGGTCCCGCGAGGCCAACACCCCGCCTCACACTCGGAGGCATACACCCCTCGGGCCACTCGTGAGCTAGCCGCCTCGCATTGTATCATAGAGAGGGCCTCACCTGTCACTCCCCTTCCTATTTTCTGGTTACTGTCACCGAGAGGCCAACATCCTGCCACAACGTTCGGTGGCCACAAAAAAATCCCCTCGCGCCAAGCATAGATAGAGCCTCTCAAGCCACTTGGCAACTAGCAGGGCCTCACCAGTCACCAAAAAACACCAAGCCTAATCGTTTCGCCTTACGGCTTAGCTAGCAAGCCAGTACAAGACCCCTGGGTACAAATAATAATTGCAATCTTTATTGTTATTTAAGTATTTCTCAAAAAGATGGTGAAGAATCATCTCTTCCTGGCACCCCGGCTAGAAGTGATACACCTTCAAGCAGAGGAGATGTGGCTCCGACCTAAGGAGGCGGCAAATCCCCTACCCTGCCACAGCAAGGAAAGCAGAGTTATTCAAACTCCTCCATACATCAACGGACAACACGGAGGCAGGGGAAGGCCCAGCAACACCAACTCAGGTGACACCCAGGCCATGCTAGCCTCACTCATAAACTCATGAGCCAAAAAATTTACGACAGACTGGCAATCTCGAGTCAGTCACAGCCCTCACAAGGCTGGGCCTCACTGTACAACCAGCACCAACCGAAACTCGGTTACTTGGTTCAAGACGTTAACCCTGCACATATGATCCCGGCACATTGGGGAAACAAGGCATATATATGTATGATGATGTATCTATGATGGTCAGACCCAGGGATTCTAGGTAAATTGGGACCTGACCATCCCTTGGTTGTGTTGGCATTTGGAATATGTAGAGATGCTTATTTGTGCAGGTACCCATCCAGAAGGGATTTTCTCCCAAACAAACGGGCGAGCACTCTCAGGCTCCAGGTACCAGCACCTCTGAACTACCAGAGACAATTGGTATTAGTAGTTGCATTGCATATAGACTGTTGCATATATGTTCAAATCATTCAGGGCACATGACAAACCATGTGTCCCAATACAACTTACAAATAACGTACTCACCATCTGTACACACCAATGCATTTTCAACACTACTGACTCATCACCCTTCCAGACTTGTAGTAGATTTACTAAGGCTCTGGAGCTTCAAAGGGCTCCCATACAGGTATCATAAATAAACCCTCAAGGAATATAGTATGCCCTCACTTACAGTCAGCACAACAGAACCGTCGGCTGTAAACACACTCATAGCCAAGATTTGCAGAGGGGTTTTTACTTGGGTTTTCCAATCTCCACCATTTACAGCATGGCACCAAACACAAACACATTGGTATTGTCACAAGGGAATCTTCCCTTAAACAAAGACTAACCATAGACTTATTGGCACCACACACCTTCGCTACCCCAAGTCTCAACTCCCTCATACCCTCCGAGGAGTTTCCTTACTATACACACCATTGATCTACCTTTACAGCTATCACTCAAGCATGGGTTGAAGCTTCGTTAAGTAAGACCAATATCATCAACACAGTAAACGGCTACCATCTACCCTACAAACTGGCACTTACATGGCATAAAATGGGCAATCCTTTCCCCGCTAAAAGCAGCTGCTGTGGCATGGGGTAAATCATGGTCAGGGTCATCAATCCGTTGTTACTCAGACAACTAAGCACATGTCATATCATTAACAAATGCCACTCATCATCCATACGATCATGGTATTGCTGGGGAACTCACTTGGTTGGCCACTTTTCACCACATTTCTTTTACTTTCATGTACCAGGCGGGGGTATACATCCTTGCTGACAATTGTCTCATATTCCAGGCATGTTCATCATACGCTTCCTACAGCCGCCCATACAGTCACGGCCACTCTTTCGTTCCAGAGACAAAATCATGGATTAGACATACTCATGCAGCATAGCATGCACTATCCCACCTAGCACTTTCATCCCATACTTGTAGAACGCATAACACCTATTCACCTGGCTTTAAAGAATCTCATTGGAACACGACATAGCTCAACCTGTGTCATAACATTTCTCCTAGGTTTTGCTTCATTTTTGCCACCTTAAACTAAAACCATCTCACACACCATTAATTATATATTTTACAGGCATTCAACAACACAGGATAACCTATGGCCAAAACTACCATAACTTCATGGTATCATACCAGACAAGAATATACTCAGAGGTTTTCAGGAATCCATCCCCCCACGTTCCTCTTAGATATTACCAATAGCTATCCAACTTTTCCATCCTTATCGGACCTATTAGAGCTACAACCATTCAATTATACTACCAAGTTGGCCATTACCACCATGCACACTGCCTTTTATGCCTTTCTCAGGCCAGAGAATCCACTACCATAACCACCACTCAGACAGATCATTGTCTTCAACGATCCCACGTATGTAAACACATATATCATTACCTATTGGCTCTACCACATTCCGAAACGAGTCAACACGCACCAACAGTAGAGATAACATACTATCCTACCCACAACAAATGGTGTCCAGTTGCGGTCCTAGATTCCTACCTTCAAAAATCCTTCCAGGAATTAAATACAGTAATGCATTTAAGGAAATGTCTGGTTAATTTGTATATATTGTTGACTGTATTAAATCTTTGATTATTCTTTTTGCCCTCTTTATTTACAGGCCTACCGTATCGTCGGTCTCGGCACACCACAACCGACTTGCTCCCTTTATACTATCCTACGCTTATGCTGGAACCTTACTCCATATACGGCTATTTGCCCCGAACACAAGTTTTTAAGGCCATTTGGCCTGTATTTGTGGGAGGGGCTTAAATTAATTCACTCCCCTATATAAGGGACACCCCTTACCTGACTCATATCGCTTGAGGTCAGCATCAGAATGACCCTCCCACCCACTCCTCATTTCAACACTTTCTATTTTCTTTCCATTTACTTTACTTACTTACTCCTTGGTGGGCCCTCTTTATTTACAGGCCTACCGTATCGTCGGTCTCGGCACACCACAACCGACTTGCTCCCTTTATACTATCCTACGCTTATGCTGGAACCTTACTCCATATACGGCTATTTGCCCCGAACACAAATATATATACCACTATATAAATAAAAATAATTTAAAAAATTATATACATATATATATACATGTATATATATAATAATCCTACATATATATTTATGTAATAATTTTACATAATTAGGTAATTTTATTAATTACAATTTGCAGGACCTGCCTGACAACCCAGGCCGAAAGTTCAGGGAATTTAATTTACTATCACTATATTTAGCCCTGTAACTTTCCAAGACACCATAAAACCTGTACATGGGGGGTACTGTTTAACTCGGAAGACTTTGCAGAAACAAAAATTAGTGTTTCAAAACAGTAAAATGCATTACAACGACGATATCGTCAGTGGAAGTGACATTTTTTGCATTTTTCACACACAAATGGCACTTACACTGACGATATAATTGTTGTGATACGTTTTACTGTTTTGAAACACTAATATTTGTGTTCAATGAAGTCTCCTGAGTATAACAGTACCCCTCATGTACAGGTTTTATGGTGTTTTCAAAAGTTACAGAGTCAAATATAAGGCTTGCGTTTCAATTTTTTCACATTGAAATTCGCCAGGTTGGTTATGTTGCCTTTGAGACCGTACGGTAGCCCAGGAATGGAAATTACCCCCAAGATGGCATACCTTTTGCAATAGTAGACAACCAAAGGTATTGCAAATGGGCTATGTTCAGTCTTTTTTAATAGCCAATTAGTCACAAACACTGGCCAAAATTGGCGTTCAAATACGTTTTTTGCATTTTCAAATATTAACACTAACTTTGGCCAGTGTTTGTGACCAAGTGACTACTAAAAAAGTCTGGACATACCCCATTTGCAATACCTTGGGTTGTCTACTTTTGCAAATGGTATGCCATCGTGGGGGTAATTCTCATTCCTGGGCTACCATACGGTCTTAAAGGCAACGTAACCAATCAGGAAAATTTCAATGTGAAAAAAATGAAAAATGTAACATGCCATATTTGACCCTGTAACTTCCCAAAACACCATAAAACCTGTACATAGGGGATACTGTTTTACACGTGAGACATCGCTGAATACAAATATGTGCATTTTATTGCAGTAAAAGCAAACAGTATTTTGACATTCAAAGTTAAAATGTCACGTAGAACTAAGAAAACGTTAAAAAAATCTTATTTTCTCAGATTTTTTTTATATTTTATTCATATTAAATTATGTTCCATACCTAAATATTTGATGTTAAATGAAAGCCCTGTTGCCCCTGAATAAAATGATATATAATAAGGGTGGGTGCATTTAATATGAAAGAGGTGAATTACGGTTGGACAGACATTTAGCGCAAATGCCAGGTTTTGTTTACGTTTTGTTTTGATCACAACTTGTACATTAGTATTTAGAAAATTGGGCAGACTAGATGGGCTGAATGGTTCTTATCTGCCGTCACATTCTATGTTTCTATGTATTCGTTACAAGAACACATGAATAATAAATGCAAAACAAGGAAACATAGAAGCCTCTGGGACTCAAGCCTCCAGGATACAGAGACCAAACCTGAGTCTAATCCAATGAACTGGCAACCTTAAAAGACGTAACTAGTGGGAAGATAATGTATTGCGGACTAAGTCAGATCTCTTCAGTCTTAGTGCAGCATTCTGCAACAGCACCATAGCTTGGTAGTGGCAGTGTGAGGTACTGCAAGAGACTGAAGCGATCAGAAACCTTATTAATGGAATTCTGACAGAGGGAGCTTGTTCCAATAGAATATGGTATTTTCCCACTTTGCTGCTATGTCATATAAGGAAAAGCTGTCACAAAATAATTTTTTGTGATCGTCCAGGCTGATCACTATGCAGAACCCTGTGCGAATCCCTCTCTGCTGTTAATTCAGACTGGGAATGCGTGCAGTCAGTTTCTTTTCAAACCACTTATTTTCAACTACATTCTGGGCATTCTTCCAGCTAGAGAGCGTTTCAAAACAGTAAAGCATATCACAAAAATAATATCGTTTGTGTGTGAAAAATGCAAAAAATGTCACTTTCACTAACAATATCATCATTGTAATACAATTTACCATTTTGAAATACTAATATTTGTGTTCAGCGAAGTCTCTTGAGTAAAACAGTACCCCCCATGTACAGGTTTTATCGTGTCTTGGAAAGTTACAGGGTTTAATATAGTGCTTGCACATTAAATTCGCTGGACTGTATGCCTGGGTTGTCAGGCACGTCCCTTAAATTTTTATAATAAAATCACAGAATTATGTTAAAAGATTACATAAATATACACATAGAATTTTGAAATATATACATATACATGTATTTAAATTCTACGTGTATACTTATGTAATGATTTATTTAATTATATATATATATGCAATTATTTATATATAGATAGATAAAGAATGTCATTCTAAGTGTATTTTGCTACCAATATATAATTATTAATATCAAAATACCATTAGAACAAAATTACATATGTATATATAATTTATTTAATTTTTTTTCAATTATTTTATTTATTTTATTATTGCATTTATTTATTATTGTAATTATACGTATATATAGATATAAATATATATATATATAAATTATATTATAATATATCTAATATATATGTAACTTCCTTCTAAGTTTATTTTAATACTAATATATGTAATTATATTAATATAAAAAATACACAAACTATGAAGTTACATATATATAAGGTAATGTTGAGATCTTGAGAAAGACCTGAATAGGTCGAAACGTTGATCATCTTTTTTGCACAATAAACCAGAAACACAATATTAAGTCCAGGAGTGCACCTTTATATTTGTTTTCTATAAAAAATGTGCCAAATTTATTGTTTGAAATATATATATATATATATATATATATATATCTCTATAGATACATATATTCTTTTTACATGTGTAATAATAATTTTTTTAATCTTTTCCCACCAGCAGGGGGACTGTCTGGCATGCCTCTTTGAGAGCGATCACATGGGCCCCGGGGCCTGATTTGCCACAGGAGGACTGGCTGGGCTGTCAGGCAGTTCTCCCGAAGCGGAGCCCTGGGAAGGAAAGTATCCCGGGCGATCCAGGGCTCAGAGCTGTTACAACGTTCTATGCCGCCCCAATGGCTTTAAAACCCATTAAATGAGGGATGGGATAAAATGCTATAACGGCTTTAAGGGGTCAAAGGGTCATTCTAAGCACCATAATATTATTATTTATATAGGGCCAATAAATTCTGCAGCGCTGTACCTTACTGAATTTGCATAAGCCTGCCACAATGCCAATGTACCCCATTCTTGGCAGATCCTATCCTACCAAACTAATGCCTGCTCTTATGAGCATTGAATGGGGTACATTGGTGTTGCAGCAAGCTTATGCAATGCATGGTGTGATCATACTGTAACTAAACCCCCATTATTATTTTTTGCCTAAGTGAACGGTTTTTAAATAAATCTATTACATTCTCTAAACCTTAAAATTATTGTTTATTGAATGAGTCAGTGCGCTGGATTTTGTATGTTGTATGAATTGGCCCTAGCAGCAACCCTCTTGCTTTTATATATATTTAAGAGTCCAGGCCAACTCCCCAGTGTTTCCCCCCTCCTTGTCTTAGGTACCTGATTCCAGGTCCCTATCTAACTTTACATTGGAGATAGTCCCAGGAAGTGGATTACTTTCAAATGAGCAGGCATTAGGTTGCTAGAGTAGGACTTGCCAAAAATATGGTACATTTACATTGTGGCAGGCTTATGCAACGTATGATCATATACTGTAACCAAACACCCATTATTTTTGCTTAAGTTAGATATTAAACAAAACAAAAATATAAAATTCTAGAAGCCTTACAATTGCTGTTCAGCGAATGAGCGAATCCACTGGATCTTATATATTTTATTTTAATTTAATTTAATATTTTTATTTTAGTTTTTTTTTTTAACCCGTAATTATAGTGTGTGTGTATTTTTGGACATAGAGTTCCTTTAAGGACAGCAGCAGCAAATAAACCTTTGGTCTTGTGGCTTATTATATCGACAACAGCTCAACAGCATTATATTGCCATAATACACACTTTCCTGTTACGTTCATTGTATACACAGTATCACAGACAGTGCACTGGGCCAGGGACGTATTAGCCGCGAGGCAAACAAGGCATTTGCCTTGGACGGCATTTTCCAGGGGGCGGCAAAAAAAAGTGTGTGTCTGTTAGTGAGTGAGTGTGTGTCTGTTAGTGTGTATGTGTCTGTTAGTGTGTATGTGTCTGTTAGTGTGTGTCTGTTTGAGTGTGTCTGTTTGAGTGTGTCTGAGTGTCTGTTAGAGTGTGTGTGTTTGTCTGTTAGTGAGTGAGTGAGTGTGTGTGTGTGTATGTCAGGGAGTGTGTCTGTTAGGGAGTGTGTTACTATGTGTGTGTCTGCTAGGGACTGTATGTGTCTGTTAGTGAGTGTGTATGTCAGCTAGTGTATGCGTGTCTGTCAGTGAATATGTGTGTGTATTTAGAAGGCGGGGCAGGGGGGAAGGGAGGTGAAGGGCGCATGGGTGAGGGAGGGGGGCGCCTGAGTTTTGTCATGCCTAGGGCAGCACAAAACCAGGACACACCACTGCACTGGACGCAGTATCCAGTTTCCTTCCCTAAGCAGGACTGTGGGCATCTGACAAAACCAGGTAAGTGATTTACTGTCTGTAAATTGTTTGACACCTTACCATGAGATGGAGCCATGGGATCCTGGCACACTGTAGTAGTTATGGTACTTTGAGTATACCTATTAATTGCATTTTTTAAAACTGTGTCTATTACAAAACCTCTCTATACATTTAAAAAGTCACTGTTAAAACTGTACCTTTGAAAAGTGTCGATTGTCATTATAGCAACGCTCCAACACTTCTCTTGTCATAAGTATGCACAGACGTTATAATGATGTTAACAATAGTCTCTTGGCTTAGGGTAAAGTTAGAGGGAGATTAAGTAAGGCTATGCGTTAATCACTTTAAAAATGTCAACATAAAACATAAACACAAAGATTAAAAACAATGTGGCCAATGTTTATAATGATAAGCATTATTACAGCACAGAGTATATTGGCATACCCATTGTTTTACATGGTGTGAAGATTTAGAGGTAGGCTTAAGGTTTAAAAGGGATTTAGGATTAGTGGGTACCTGCCTTTAAGATACCATACCACTCTAATTATCATTCTTGTCTGAATAACAGAGAGGTGGCTAGCAATCTCATATAAAACTTAACTTTGCCACCCATGGGGTGGCAGTTGGGGTCTCTAAATGTATAATATTGAAAGGGGGTGGACATTCCATATGGGGTGGCTATAGAAGTGTACAGATCATAGTGACTTTGGGGGGAAATGGGTGGACAGTGGCATGTACACACCCTTTCAATATTTATTTATGTCCACCATCATTGGGTGGGGGACACTATGTTTTGTCCACACCCTAATGATTATTTTAGGTCTCCCTCCTAATGCCCACATGTAGGTGGCATGAAGGGGGGAGGGCAGTTTCCCCCATAATATTACAGGCATTCTTCCCAATGGCTGCCCAGTCACTAGTTTTCAGGTTTAGTAGAGATGGCTTCACCTTCCACGTCAGGTGGGGCGAAAAAGAAGGTTTTTAATCTCCATTACATTAATATAATTTATTTTTTTTCCTTTTGATTTTATTTACTTCTTTTTTTTTATATATATATAAATATTACTGTGTTAATAGGGTTGCTGGCTACAAACCTCTGGCCAGATGACACATGGCTATTTTTAACTGTTGGTCCATTGAGGGTTATATTATGAACTATCGTCATTGCTGCCATTGCTGCTACCGGGTCATAGAAAGTAGCAGTCAGGCAAACCTGGTGAACAAAGAGAATTATCACTCAAGTTTGGCTGAAACGAATAGACACCCGATTGAAAGCTTGTCAAAACATGTCTATTTGAAAATACATGAGAGAAACTGCTTCAGCAATGGAAGTAATGCACAGCTAAAGCCAATTTGACTGCTCTGCATGCATGCTATTTAAAGAAATGTCTCTCACTGGGTTGTCTGGACCTATCGCTAGTCACATGTTCCAGGAAAAGTGTTACATTTTGTAAAATCTAATTATATAGCAAAGGGGGTAATTATTTGCATGTTTGATTTAAAGTAATCCAGTTATAACTATTCTCTGAAGAAGAAAAATGCTTAAATCACCATTGTATTGCATTTTCCTTGTTAGAAACAGTTTGTATAAGGATTTAAAGAAAACCATTACCCAGCCTGCACATTAATTAACATACAATGTTATCAGAAAAGATGCACACAAATGTATTTCTCCTTTTAAGAAAACAGATAATTTGAAGCCAAAGGTCTTTAAAGACAAATCAGTTTAAGAGTTTTTAGTTTTTTTTACTGAACCCAACATTGACCATGTGTGAATTAAAAAATAGAATATTATTATTATTGGCATTTATATTGCGCCAACAGATTCTGTAGCGCTCGAATAGATAAACCGCTAAAAGCACAATGACAAATGAATCAACAGATCCATGAAACCTTTTTTTTTTTTTTTCATCTCGGCGGACAAAATGACTCAACATTAGCATATAGGCTTGTGCAAAAGCCACATAACATGTCACATACATGATAAGTCATCCTGAGACAAAGCGTATGAAACACAATTGAGAACTTCGTCACCGTCCGTCAAGGAATTTTTCTATTTTTTCTTTAGTAAACAAGATTAAACTTTAGATAAACGGTAGACCTGACATTCCATTCCACATATTGTTAACAGGTACCACAGTGCCCTTAGAAGATGAACTTACAGGCCTCCTGTGAGGGCACATTCTTTTTTTATGGTCTGTAACTTTCTTGTTGAGGTGGCAGCATCTGAGAAAAACAAAGGCACCTTCCATTCTTTCTTAGCTTCCGTACTAAGTGTAATGCTATATTTCAGAATCCCGAGTGCCCAATTTTACACTTATAGTAAGCCACCTCCTCTCCCGTATATGCCTCCCTTTCGCCTCATGTACTTGCTAGAATGCACCGGTACAACGAACCGCTGCCTTCCAGGCAGTTTTGCCGCCCTCCTCTGTTCGCGCAGCAGGGAGCTGTGGAATTTTCAGTTAAGGCCTCCTACCGATAATGTGTCCTATATGCTCTGTCATGGCTTATACCTAGTCCCTTGTAAAGAAGGGAAGCAAAGAAGAGTAAGAGATATAGAAAAGGGGGAGGGGGGGTGGAGGGCGAAGGGGGAGAGAGACTTCTGGCCACAAGGCCTCCTGATCAATGGTGGTGCCCCTGCACCGTAGGGGGTTCCAGCATGACTTATTAGCCTATCGTCTCCTGAAGAGGGTTTCTGGCACTTCCCTCTTGCCCACTGTAAGCGCGGATGCTCGCCCCCCAGGTCTCCTCACACTCCCACTGGGCTATTCTCCCAAGGTTCCCAAATCCTCTGGAAAGCTACAGTGGTCCCTTTCACCCTGGCCGTCAAGTCATCCATCAGTTTGCTCTCTTTGATCCTGGTGATCACTCCCAAGAAAATCGGGACCCCCGAGGTCAGCCAAGAGGTTGCTATCCCTCTACGTGCGCTTAAAGTAATTTTATGAAGTAGTTTCTAATCTCTCCTGGTCCATCCCTCCAGTAGGCACTTTATTACTTTTCAATATAATAAATGCCTTCTATAAATCAGCAATGTGACCTGTTTCTCCATACCGTGGTCATTTACTCCTTGCCATTTACCGTTATGAATTTTGCCTACCCAACAATACATTGCAGGTGAATATATGTCTTATGTGGTGCTCTTTTCCCCTAATTGGGCTATTTGTGTTATTTACTTCATACATTGCTGTCTAACTAACTGTCCTCACAGCATACTCTAAGAGTTCATATTTATATGAACATTGATGTGCGCATTACTATTTATGTTGGTAATTATCGCTTGCTATTCAGTATTATTGGAAAAGCTCCGCTCACGAGGCACAATGTATGCATATCATTTTATTCCGCTGCCAAATAATAAGAATTGTTAAAAAAAAAAAAAAAAAATGTCATTAAATTTTTTATCGTGTATATGGGCAAACTGCAGCCATTACCCCAAGATACTGCTATTCAGTGCAGAGAAGAAAATATATCAAAGCACTGCCATGTATAATCATCAAGATTCAATGGGAGAAAGTAAAGCAAACTGTGCTTATTATTGCCAATTGCCTGGTTTGTCTAAATATTTGTCTAAATACATGAAATTTGAAACACTGTCATCCCTCTTTTATTGACTGGCTGGGGGATAATGTTGGGGAAACAATAAAACTATATCGTTCATTCCAGTTGTCTTACTTTGCACACATACCTTGAGCCCCCAGTATCTACTACCTATGACTGGTGAGTGCCTGTGCAGACTATCAAGTGTGAGTGTATTGCCCTCTAGTGGTTGGTATTGTTATCACTCCTTACTTTGCTTTAGATTACAAACAGGTAAAAAAAAAATTTCATTCTTTATTTTAGCAGTGCAAGGTTATACATACAGGCTTGCATGAGTATTATATGAAGGTTAGGTACAATAATATAGATTACAGAGGTAACATGTAATAGCAAGAAAACTGCACTTTTAAAAAATATATATATAAAATAAACTTAAACATACAGGTGTGTCAGGTCAGTAGTAAGATAAGAGAGATTTATTAACTAGGCAAATGGTCAGGCAGAGTCCAAACAGGTATGCAAATGAATTCATGCCACCCATTGTCTCCAAACATGCAGCATCATTATAGTGCCAGGAGCTAGCAGGAACCAGCATCAAATGTCCACAGGCCTTGCTTTATGTCACTAGGAGGAAGCCTCAGAATCTTGGCTGGCGATATGTTACCCAGGTGAGTGGAGTACGGATAGTTACTCGAACCTTCTTGGTTCCACACCGAGGAAGGGGGCTCCAAACAGATCTGACTAGAGGCTTTGCCTTAAGAGTTGGCAGCGTAGGTTGCTTTCTCCAATCCTCCAAGCTCTTCCAGAACCACAGGCACATAGCATCAAACATAGTAAGGGGATGGAATTTTGGCACCTGTGCTTCGTATGTGTGGAAGCTTGTTCTTCCCTAACCAGAGTCTCTTCTTTCTGGTGGTATAGTTAGTATGCAGAAAAGGGTGCGGGGAGACAGCACCTGTAGAAATGTTCTCAGATCCAGTGATATATGAAATGAACAGAAAAAACTTAATATAGTGTAGTATATCAAAAAAATCCTGGTGAAGTATAGAAAAAGTTTTTTTTTATATACTACACTATATTAAGTTTTTTCTGTTCATTTCATATATCACTGGATCAAACTGTCTCCCCGCACCCTTTTCTACATAGCATCAAACACCTTTAATGTTGCTACCCATCTTCGAGCAGTAGCCTGTTTACCATACTCAGCAGCAGCAATGCCGTCAGCAATTTTGGAAAGTGCGTGTGGGAGAAGCCTTCACGAAATACGCCCATGATTGATGAAGGGATAAGTGCTTGCATGGTGGGACTGGGATAACCTCCACCAGCCCAGAGAGGGGAGGGAGCGCGGGGCCCTGAGTATGCATTAGAGTGCCCAGGCAGCCCCAAATGGAAAGTTAATTTGCTTCCCCCACCAACGAGTCACCAGGCTGCAGGAGAACGGAGGCCCCAGTTACCAGACAGCAAGAGTGGTGAGGTACCCACACCCAAGTTGCCCAAAACGTGCCAGACGCAGGTGCTGATGTGGGTAAGTTGAGTAATATGGTATTTTTTACCTTCTAAATCACTTGTGAATCACACTTTTCCAGAAGCTCAAACCAGCTGTGACCATTCAGCATGGCCAGGGCCAGAGCTACCATAAGGTGGCCCTGGCAGCCACCTTAGGCGCACACGCCCGGGGGGCGCAAGATCTGACTGATAGGCAGGAGGGGAGTGCACCGTGGCGTCCAAGCCCTGCCCCCTCAAACAGTAACATTTTAATGTATAGCTAAACATTCTTATTTCTGTATGCATGCCTTTAAGACTCAATTACTCGCCCATATAACCCTAGATGTGCTATTAACCATTGATTAGCTCTCCCCTTTGTATTAGAAAAATGTTGTGCATTATGTCTTTAAATGCATTTTTCCTTTCCAACTTCCTCAATAGGCACAACAAGCTCCCCCACACAGGACAATATTGTACATACATTTGTCCACTTAACCTGGCCTCACTTTTTCTCCTCAATTGTACTTATTAGATTTTCCAAATTAAATTCATCATCATCATCATCAATAAAATACATCATGCATCAATGAAAATGTTGGTTGTTTTTTATATAAACTTATAACACACAGTATAGCAGAGTGATCTTGTATAATATATATTTTTTTAATTACATAGTAATGAATATCATTCTGTTTGCAAGAAGAAGCTCAGAAAAGCCTTAACTATGCTATATTTTCAATGATATAATTGCCGCAAGATCTTGTGGTCACTATTCTATGCTAATTCTCCTTGATCCTTCTGTTGCTTTTGACACTGTTAATCATCAACAGCTTCTGCTCACCCTCCATAATCTTGGTCTACTTTATATCCTCTAGAGCAGGCTTCCTCAAACTCCGGCCCTCCAGATGTTGCTGAACTACAACTCCCATGATTCTATGAATAAAATAGGCTGAGAATCATGGGAGTTGTAGTTCAGCAACATCTGGAGGGCCACAGTTTGGGGAAGCCTGCTCTAGAATATAAGCTCATTGAGCAGGGCCCTCCACCTCTCTGTTCCTGTACATCCAGTTGTCTGGTTACAATTACAAGTCTGTTAATCCACCAATTAAAAGTCTGTTAATCCACCCAACGATATGGAATCTGATGGCCCTATATAAATAATAAAATAATAGTTGTTCTCTCCTGGTGCTCTTTCAACCTTTCCCTGTGCTCTTTCAGTGTTTCTTCTATGACACGCAAATCTATTTGTCCTCTCCTGAACTCTCTCCGTCCCTCTTGACTTGTGTCTCTGACTGCCTCTCTGCTATTTCTAACTGGATGGCTGCTCACTTCCTTAAACTTAACCTGTCCAAAACAGAACTTCTGGACTTTCCACTCTCAAGTGTTGCCAATCCCGTGTCTGTCTCCCTCTAAGTTAAAGGCGCTCCCATCAGCTCTATCTCGCAAGCTCGCTGTCTAGGTGTTCTCTTTGACTCCAACCTCTCCTTCACCCTTCGTGTCCAGTTGATCATCAAATCCTGCCACTTCCATCTAAAAAACATTGCGTGCATCCACCTCTACTGAACGCCAGATGTAGTTAAGATGCTGTTCAATGTCGCTATCCTCTCTCGCCTTGACTACTGCAATCTGATTCTCAGTGGTCTTATGTGCTCCCGACTTGCCCCACAAGTCTATAAGGAATGTGGAGGTGAGGCAAATCTTCCTGTCCTCCCCACTGTCAGTCCTTGCATTGGCTTCCCATAGGTTAAAGGGCTCAATTTAAAATTCTGGTTCTTGCTTACAAATCTCTACATAATGCTGCTCCAACTTACCTATACTCCCTAAAAACACAAGTATGTCCCCATCTAGGCCCCTTTGCCCTGCCAAAGACCTACATCTATCCTCTGTTTGTACGCCTAACTCTGATGCTCACCTTCAAGGCTTCTCTAGGGCCACACCGTTCCTACGGAACTCCCTTTCCTTCTGTTAGACGTTCACCCAGTATCAATTAAAAAAAATAAAAATATTGAAAATGCACTTCAGGAAAGCATATAAATTAAAATAGCTTAGCCCCGCACCATGATTCCGCTCCTGTCATATAGTGAATAATATTCTAGCAACCTACTTTTCTACCATACCTTACCTTTTGTGTCACTATACCCAACTCCCTCTAGCATGTAAGCTCACTGAGCAAATCCCTCAACCCCTCTGTTCCTGTGTGTCACACTCGTCTGGTTACAAGTAATTGTTTTGTTCGCCCACCCATTGTATATCACTGCCGAATTTGTTAGTGCTTTATAAATAATTTATGTGAAGCATAAATTAGTCACTCGTGCTGGGCTCAGGGAAGTGATACCCTCCAGGAAATCAGGTATTGCCCCAGACAATGTGCATTCAGCAAAGCGTATATTTATAAAATATATTTGTGCCAAATTAAATTTCTCATTTTACAAAAAGTACAGATTTCAATATTAACTGGCACTTTTAACCCCTTAAGGACAGAGCTTCAAAAGCTTGTATTTCACTTAATGTCAACAGCATTTTTGTAATTTTTTGCTGTTTGCGTTCAACAGCAATTTACATTTTACTAATTTATTGCACCGACACATATTATATACCGTTTTTTAAAGTATAGAAAGGCCTTTAATTTGATGTAAATATATATATATATATATATATATATATATATATATATATGCTTATTATAAAAAATACAGAAAAATGCAAAATAAATTAAAAACTTTTGTGGGTTTTTTTTTTTTTTTACAGTTTTTGCAATAATAATGTGTGCACAATTAGTGCAGGTTAAGGAAAGTAATTAAAAATAAATTCATTTAGTTGTTCTGATTTACAGAACATATAATGTGTCTGGGATGTTAAGGTTTTTTTGGTAGTTACAGGTCACAAAGCACAAGGAGTAAAATAAACTTTTAATGTGGAGCGATTTTAGAATTTGGTATATTTGTCTTGTAAGCTTAATAGCCATAAAAGAAAAGAAAATTGCCACTCAAAAGTATACATTTATATAAAGTAGACATCACAGGCTATTTACCTAAGGTTGTTTTGACACTTTCTACGTAGCCATTTTACCGCCAACCTCTGCTAAATATTGGAGTAAAATTGAGTTTTTTGGGGGTTTTGGCACACAAACTAATAAAAGAAATTCTCACGTGTATTTTGTAAAGTTGGTGTGCTATTCCTGTACAAAGTTTTAATTTGTGTTTAGTTACATCTGCTGAGTAAAATGACACCACCATTGTATGTCTTTTTCGTGAAGTTACAGTGCCATATAGGATACCTGTCCTTTTCAGTATTCACAGTAGAATTTTGAGAGACGGATTTAATGAGCCTATGCTTCCATTTGGGGTTTTATAGTAGTTTGACTGTTCAAAAAAAAACCACAAATGCCTACCATTTGTAAAAGTAGACACTCCAGGGTATCTCATAAAGTGCATATTGTGCCTTAACATGCCCCCATTTTATCACCAATATATGCCAAAGTATGTGGTAAAAAATAATTTTGTGCATTTTTTACATACAGATTGCATTTTTGCTGGGCATATTGTATATTTCATATCTGCCACTAAGTTCAAACCCCCAAATTATGCTCAGCTAAGTTTTCTGAATAAAAAGAAACCCCCAATGAATGTCTTTGGCACTATTTCGTGAAGCTACAGTGCCATATAGGAGACCAAGCCATATCAGTTTCTACCGAACTTTGAATTTTGACGCTGGGCCTATGTGCAATTTCCAAGCATCTTTGCAGGTTTTAAATTCAAAACTACCCCACAAAGGCCTAGAATTTCTTAAAGTAGACACCCCAGGGTATTTTAAAAGGCATATTTTGAACCTTAGCGTGGGATCATTTTTCCGCTAGCTTGTACCAGGTGTAGTGGTAATAAGCGTTTTTTCTGCCTTTTTGACACACAAAGTGAGTTTGCACAGTATATTTTGCAAACTTTATGTGTGCTACAACTATAATACTTCATATGTTGCTCAGCTATGTGGTCTGAGTACAGCAATACCCCCGTTTGTACCTTTGCCAGGTATATGTGGATGTTGAAAGGGCACATTTGAGACGCAGCCAGTTTTTTTTTTCTAACTGAAGTTTTACGCTGTGTCCATGTTCCAATTTGGAGTAGTTTAGACGGTTGGTTATTGAAACTTCCCCACAAACCCATACTATTTATTAAAGAATACACCCTGGGGTAATTCAAAAGGCATGTTTTGAACCTTGGCGTGGGATAATTTTTCCTCTAGTTTGTTCCAGGTGTAATGATGAGCGTTTTTAAATGTATTTTACTTTTTAAACTTTTGTTTATTAATTTTTTTAATCTTTCCTTAACACTTTTTTTTTAAATATAGATTTAAAATTTTTGTAAGCTTTTTTTTTACGGTTAACCCCCAGGTAGCATTAGGCAGCACTAACAGTAAATTCCCCATTTTCCCTTAACTCCCACACACCCCAGCTAGCAAAATATATAATTATAAAATAGTTAAATCAGTTAAATAAATTGAACCCCTGAGGGTTCAAAAAAAAAAAAAAAAAAGTTAATCGTCAGGGGTTAAAAAAAATTAGATAACAGTATAATAATGTGATCTGTATTTTGATCACTGTAGGCAGTGATCGACTGTCACGGAAGGGGTTAATTTTTATTTGGACTGGCTAAAGGGGGGGTGGTTTTTTTACTTTGTTATTACAGCTTTTTAAAAACTTTTTTTTAACGTTAACCCCTAGTTAGCCTAACACCAAATCCCCCACTAACTTCCACCCAGCTAGCTAAATTTATAATTTTAAAATACTTAAGTTAAATAAAATAAATTTAACCCCGAGGGTTTAAAAAAAAAAAAATATATAGATCATAATAAAATGTAATCCCTGCCAATTGATCACTGTAGTCAGTGATCAATTGGCAGGGAAGGAGTTAAATAAAATGGGTAAGGGGGGTGGGATTTAAAATTAACTTTATTTTTTTAACAGGGGGCAGGATCATCACTGATCAGTCTCCCAGAACCAGGAAGAAGTGCAGGGAGGCGGAAGGTAAGTATACTATGTCAGCACTCTCAGGTGCTCCCGGTCTGCCTCTAATACAGAGGCAGACCGGAGCACCATTAACCTCATGATCACGGCGATCTGGCGTTAATTTTACCGCGTGACGGACAAGGTCCATCACTCGTCGTTAAGGGTTTCCCCTGAGTGACGCACCTTGCCAGTCACTCGTCATTAAGGGGTTAATAAAGCAATCATACCTCAGTTGATCAAAACTCAAGAAGCAGGCAATTTTCCAGAGCACCTGCCTGGCAAATACTTCTTTTGAGCTATACTGGGAAGTCTGTAATTGAACAGCCACAGCATATTTGTCTTTTGAAAAGGCTGCACACAAGAGATATGTATCTTAAGCAAGATGTTTTGTTTTCTTTTTCCCCACCATTTCTTCAGTTAAAGTACATAGTTAATACCCTTAGAAGTGCATTTCAGTGCAAGCTCAGTTGATGTTTAACCCCTTAAGGACCAAACTTCTGGAATAAAAGGGAATCATGACGTGTCACACATGTCATGTGTCCTTAAGGGGTTAAAGACGAGGAAACATCCCACTGAATAGGACCTGTATAAGTGCTAAAGCACAGATAACTAGACCATTTCATTAGTAAACAGGTGCAAACTTTAGTCAATTTGAAGACGCTATTGTGCCTTTGTATCAGCCCTTTTTTTAAAATTTATATATTTTAGAATTTTTAATTTTAATTACTGGTATTTATAAGGCGCCAACATTCCGCAGCGCTGTACAATGGGCGGTAGAACATACAATAGGCACAGACCAACACAAAAAGGTAAAGGCGGCCCTACCCGTGATCTAGCCATTGAACTTTACACTCTAAAAGATAAGAGGATTATAAACATGATCCATTTTGAAGAGCCCCAATAGTAACAGGGTTTTTTTTAAACTTGTTTTCCTGGCACCATAGCTTTCCCATACATCTAGCTGTACTATGAGCTGGGAAATTCCTCAGTAGTAGCGTTGTTTTAGTGTTTGACAGTGTAGAGATAAGATTATGGTAAGTGTAAAACTAAAGCTGCTATAGGTTTAGCTTTCACTACAAAAAGTTTAAATTGTATATTTTGAATTTTTTTCATGAGGTGCACCTTAAATTTTAACTTATGTGCAAAATGTGCGAAGGGACACACTATATAGTTATATAAACGGAACAGACAACACAAATTCTAGGTTTTGTTCACAAGTTGGACTATTGCCTCTGTCCTTAAGGGGTGGGGTTAACTACCTGTGAATCTACAGCACTTTAATAGCCCGTCAGCAGAATACTCCTAAAATGTCTACAAAATGTTTAAAGAGAATCTTAGTCCAAAGTTGGACAATTGCCTCCATCCTTAACCCCTTAAAGGACACATGACATGTTTGACATGTCATGATTCCCTTTTATTCCAGAAGTTTGGTCCTTAAGGGGTTAAAGGGTTAAGCAAATATAGCCCCAAAACTAGCTGGCATTTCAGTTTGATTATCTTTGCCAAATATGTGAAGTGAATCAAATTGTAGCAGACTAATATTGATTAGCAAAGAACTGCACATTAAACACAAAACAATTTACCAATAAAGCAGAGTCATGTTTAAGATATTTTACCATTTTATAATAAACACAATTATATACATATTATACAATATGGCATGAATCATGAAAAAACAAAGCATTTGTTCTAGAGTGGTGAATGTAAAACAAAATACAATTCTGCTGTTCCTCAATATGCCATAAGGCGGGTTTATGTCAATGCCATGTCCAACCAGGGTCAATCTAGAGTACCTTAAAAGAACAAAAACAAAACCAGAACATTTAGCACTTTGCTTAAATTGAAAGACATTGTATTTTACAAACAAAAATACTCAAATGAATCAATTCACTTAATAAAGTCTCTTGTTGCTTAAAGAAAAATTAAAGTTATAAAATAGTATGTGTCCCTCTATAAATAAAAAAAAAAAAAAAAAAAATTAAAAAACCACCAACCATCACACACAAAACATTTAGACACTTATTTTTATTGCAGCTCTGGGACAGATTCCTCACTGCTGAGTGATATTCATCCTGATGTCTGTTATCCAAGTCAGATGAAGCACTGGAGACAGTCGAGATTCATCAATACAAAGCTTCATGGACAGAAGGAACAGCATATTTTACATGCCTATTCCAGACATTAGATAGATCAGTAATTTAATCCAGAGCCTCAAGTTACTGTCTGAATGATATCCACTAGTAGTCGTGGAAACTACAAAAGTCTTGACAGAAAGCACACACACCAAAAAAAAATAAAAAAAAAAAATAGACAACTGATCTATGAATGCTTTCCTATGAAACTGGCAGAATGCGCGCGCAGCTCCTGCCGCGCATGCGCATTCAGCCAAAGGGGAGGAGAGGAGGCGGAGAGCTCCTCGCCCGGCGCTGGAGAAAGGTGAGGTTTACCCATTCCTCTCCCCAGAGCCCGGCGAGAGGGGGTCCCTGAGGGTGGGGGCACCCTCAGGGCACTATAGTGCCAGCAAAACGAGTATGTTTTCCTGGCACTATAGTGGTCCTTTAAAATAAACAAAGTTTAATACATCTGCTTTACAAGACGTAAGAAAGCACCTGAGGGCTCACCTACTGGCTACTTTCTCTAGTGATATAGATTTATATTACTTTAAAATGCTAACAACTATTTGACAATCTTTAACTATCTGCACGAGCATTTAGGTGTATTTAGACCTCATACTACAGTTATTTATAAACTGCTACTTTGTAATGGCTAAATATACAGCACTAGAAATGTATCCAAAGTAGCAGCATAGAACTATAACCGGTCTCTGTGTAAGGGCTGAACATAATACGAGGAATCTATCCTCAATAAAGCATAGTTTGTATCCATCTGCTTCAAAAACTTCAGAAAGCAGTGTAGAAGAACCCACTGGCCATCTTCTATAGCAATACAGACCTATATTGCTTTAGTATATTAAATGACAGTTTAAACATTTTACTTTATCGGTACTGGAATTTCACAGACAGAATTAAGGTCTACTTACCCTATTTTAATACTTCTTGCTATATATTTTATGATTATAGATATATTAAAAGGTAAGTTTTATTATTAGACATAAGACTCCATTTGCATAACCTATTACTTACCTCTCTGGTGACACCGACTGGTAGTTTTTAGTTTAATTTTTTATTTTTAGTTTCATTTATAATTCTTTTTCTGTCCAAGATACTACATACTTCTTCTAGGAGAGGGGAAACAGTCATTGCCTTTTAGTTCTGTTGATTTTGCAATTAGAAGACAGTTGTATACCTTTCTCAGAAAACCTGTAAGGACTACCAGATGTTTGGTGCATAATCTTGTGAAAAAGAAATCAAATGGCAACACCCTGAATTAAAGGCAAACATTAAATTTCCCTTTTCTTAAAGCATGTATATCTGACCCTAGTGTTAAAACTACCCTTTAGGTGGCTTGCTCCCTTAGAAAAGGTTAAAACTTGCCATTTTCCAGCTCTCCAAGGGTCTGCGGGTGCTGGCCCCGCCCCCAATCCACATCAGAAATGATTTCAGCCAATCTAATGCGGAAAAGCATTGGATTGGCTGAGATCATCATGGTGGCGGGGCCAATGCTGCACTGGCCAATCAGCATCTACTCAAAAGATGAATTGAATCAATGAATCTCTGAGAAAAGTTCAGTGTCTCCGTGCAGAGGGTGGAGACGCTGAACGTCCGTGCTGAACACTGCCACAGGAAGCACTTTCAGTGACCAGAGGAGTGGCCACTGAAGGTGTCCCTAGATTTTTATGTAAACACTGCCTTTTTTATGTTTACTGCAAAAAGGCTGCAAAGTGCCTATATACACAAGAACGATTACATTAAGCTGTAGTTCTGGTGACTGTAGTATCCCTTTAAGTCTTAGGAATCGTGTGCATTGAAATACAGTGAGAATGTGAAGGTAGGCATCTTTTAAATATAGGGAAGCTAGTAAATCTTAGATGATATGGATAGTTGCCAATATGAACTTCTCATCCATTTACTTTTTTTATAGGCTCCTCGATATTGTCTTTCACAACACTTTCTATGACATTTTTGATGAGGTCTGCAACAACTGTGTAAAGAGTTTATTTTATCTCTGTAGAATGAATTATTGAACAAAATGAAAGATTCTAGAGTAAGATGGTCGCATTCTATTTTTTATAATTAGAGGTAGTCTTCCCCCTACCTGTCTGGTGTCAGTTTTCCTGCGTGGCTAGCCTTAGATTTTTGTCTTGAAGTTTATGCTTTTTAATGGAGCCAAAATATCTCCTTTGAAAGAAAGATTCCTACCAACTACATCCACAGAATAATTCTGTGTTCCAATAAAGCTTCTTGTCCTGAAAAAGACCTGCTTTCCTTCTGTCATTGCCTTTAATAAATCTTGTAAAAAGGATTCGAAAATGCATCCCTGTTCAAAGGGCATATACCACAGTGCATTTTTGGAAGAAGCATCTGCTGATCATTCGTCGAACTACACTGCTCTTCTTCCCACCAAGGAAAGTATACTTTTTACGATTCTTGCTGATAAACACTTTCACTAGTGTCACAGAGGAATTCGGAAGCCATTTTGAAATAGATCAGGATCTTCATCAGAATTCTTCTTAAATGCCTTTTCTAGCCAGATTCTTTAAAACGCTTACTACAGGAAAACCTGTGAAAAGTGTTTTATACAGCAGATGCTTAAAAGTCTTCTTAAAATTAACATTATAGTCATCCAGACTACTTCATCTCAAGAAGGTCACGCTGGAAAGAGCTTACATTTGTAGCTTTTTTTTTTTTACTGCGAGGAAGGGGAAACCTGTGGGAACAGGAAGAAGTGTATTGTCCGTGGGCCACAAACACCATGCGTTCCACTCCGGGTAGCCAGTCTGCAAGATCCTTCTCTTGTTTCAGCCCTGTAAGAAGAAGTGAGGATAGAGATCCGTGGAACGCACGCCATTTCTGCAATTCCATTGTGTGTTTTAAATAGGCTCTGCAGCCATTGAGGAGCCACCACCATAGTCTGACGGATTAACGATGAGACGGCCTCCCAGCAAGCACAAAACCTTGACTACCGCTGCCCTAGTCTGTGCCCCTGCAGATTTAACTCACACTGAGTCATTTCTTTCTAGACCTATTCCCTGTAAGGACAGACAGAAAATGCAGTCTCCTCTGGTTGGTACAGTTTTTATACCGAATAGGGGATCAGTTTCAGGGTAGTTCTGTTATATTCAAGATTTTAGACAAAAGATGCCTGTCCTGGACAGATAATGCAAGGAAAATCTTTGCAGTAGTATTGCCAGTATCCAAATGGGGAAGGAAGGGGAAAATGAATTATTTAGCACTGCACAAGGAGGAAGGATTTGCCAAGTGGGTAACTGAATCCCAAATATTTTAAGTCAGGTGTTAAAAAAAAAAACAAAAAAAAAAAAAAACATTGAATATAAGAAAACCCGGTTACATTCTGAGGTTTGAAGTTGCAATTTAGTGAAGGAGTGAGTGTGCTGGATCTTATACGAATACATACATACATACATACATACACTTTCCATCACAAAACTAAGAGCCATTTTCTCAGCTTCCAAAAATCTAAATGTTGTATAGGATTTAAAAATAAAAATAAAACAGAACTATGCACTTACCTTCCAGAAAAGCAAACTCGTCAATCGCATCTATTGCATTATCTGCAAAGAGAAATAAGTACTGTATAGTTTAGTTTCAATTGACATCTTTCAGCAACTTACTAGTCTGTACAAGTTATAGACACTTAAAGCCTTTGTTGAACATTTTGTCATCATTTGCAACACTTCTGAAATGCGGAGGAAAAGTGTGGTCCCCCGTATTCTTTGAAGGAGTGGAGACTGGGTGAGCATTTAACGGAGGAGGGAAGCAAGTTCCACAGGAACGGTGCAGCCCTCGAGAAATCTTGAAGGCGAGCATCAGAGGTGGGAGTACGGACAGAAGATAGACGTAAGTCTTCAGCAGATCGTAAGGGCCTAGACGGGACATACTTGTGTATAAGGGAGGATAGATAGGTGGGAGCAGCATTATGTAGAGATTTGAAAGCAAGAACCAGAATTTTAAATTGAGCTCTATATTTTATAGGAAGCCAATGTAGGGACTGACAGAAGGGTGAGGCATGGGAGGTGCGGGCGGACAGGAAGATGAGCCTCGCTGCCGCATTCATTATGGACTAACTGCGCAAGTTGGGGGCACGTAAGACCACTGAGAAGCGGATTACAGTAGTCAAGGCGAGAAAGGACAGTGGAATGGACCAACATCTTAGTCGCATCTGGCGTTAAGTAGGGGAGGAAGCACGCAATGTTTTTGAGATGGAAATGACAGGATTTGGCGATAGATTGAACATGAGTCTTGAAGGAGAGGTCGGAGTCAAAGAGAACACCTAGTAACAGTTACTGTCATCAGTAACAGTTGCAGGGAATTGGCTAAATCTATGGAGGATCCTGCAGTGACATCAGGAATGAGGAGGACCCCAAGATGGTGACGACCGCTAAGGACAGGTTTAGGTAAGTAAACTCACTTTTACTTGGCCACCAGCAGTGACAACCATCGGGGACTTTGTGAATTCAGCAAAGTATCCAAACTGACAGTGCCGCTTTAATAAGGAAATTGTTATACAGACCACAATTTTAGCTTACCTAGATCTTTCCGCTGTAGGGTTTTCCTCTTTCCACGTTGAGCATATATAAAAGCATCCTTGGCAATAGTTTCAATGAACAATTCCTGTTACAGAAACAGAGAAAGGTAATCAGAGCCAGGAAAATGCCTTCTCTCTACTAGTCAAAAAAGAAAAAGCCTTCCAAAAGGAAGCCACCGATATGGTAATCCCCTTCACATGGGGACATCATTAAGTGCAAGTGAACTTTTTCATTGCTAGTGCAGGTTGAACACATCATACAGCCAGCATCTCAGAGTGCTGAGTTTCACCTACAAACTATCGATGGTGATGGGAGATCTTTTACCTTTAAAATATATTTAACTTCACATATCATTTGAAAAACTACGCTAAAACACCTAACTATTTCTTTCTGTTCTGCAAACCGTGATATAAATATACAAAATATAGAGGGTTTGTTACAGTTATAGCCCAGCCAGTCTTCAAAATGATTTGTGTCAAATATTTGTGTGCAGTTTCTCAGCTCCTGTCACCTCATACTGATTTAAAATTAAGTTCCCCACAAAAGCCTTAGAATTGCTGTAGACACATTTTACACAAAAACACAGCCAGCCATTTAATGTAACACCAGTTTTTATTTTTACGCAAGCCTACAATACAAGTATCACCATGACAAGTCCCAAGCACGAATAGAACGTTCCAAAACTAAAGTACACATTTATTCTATTATTTTATAAGTCGCTGCACTAGCTGTCACTGGGGTGATGGGTGTGGGGGGTAAGAGAGTCACTCTCAGTAATAGGACAGGATTCTTTTTGGGATCTGCACCCACTTCTCTTAACATAAGGAAACCCTAATCCAGGGCATACTGAGCTAAGGCATTGTATTACAGGATTATCCAATAATAAATTATTTATCCATATAACAGCTTGCTGTATAGAGGATCTGCCTGCAGTGTATACTGTCCAGGAGACCCCACACCCGGTAATACATTAATAAATGGCTCCCTCTCACCGTGGCTTTACTGATGATAAACACAGACTCCTGGCTGGCTAGTGACACGTCTGGATCAGCTTTCATCAGAGTTTTCACCCGGGACAGGGGCAGCCGGGCCTGTTTCTGTGGCTGTGCGGGAGGAGGCGCTGCCGCTGTGTTTCCATTGTCTACCTCGGCCTGGCTGCCATCCGCTTCGGGCGGCGGAGACTCCAGTACAGGGACGGCAGCAACAGCCGCCGCCATACTAAGCAGCTGGGATAGATGAGCTGGAAAAGGCGGGAAAATGTGTCGCCGCTGTAAGAGCCAATAAAACGCGAAGGGGCGGGGGGCAAAAACGCTAAACGCCCAGTCAGAAGATCAGCTGACTGTGAGTCAGGGAGGGGTGGAGCTAGAAGGCTTCTGGAGAGGGTTGTAGATCAGCAGACACGCCTACCTCTATAAGAGGGACTATGGCTTGTTACAGTGGAGGGTGGATGGACATGTTTTATAATAGATTGCCATGGTTGGCTGGAGTATGACAGAAAATAAAGTGTATATAAAATGTATCTATATATGTATATATATATTTTTTTTATTGGCATTTATATAGCATCAACTTAAAGGACCACTATAGGCACCCAGACCACCTCAGCTTAATGAAGTGGTCTGGGTGCCTGGTCCAGCTAGGGATAACCCTTTTTTCCCTAAACATAGCAGTTTCAGAGAAACTGCTATGTTTATGTTAGGGTTAATCCAGCCTCTAGTGACTGTCTTATTGACAGCCGCTAGAGGGCTTCCGCGCTTCTCACTGTGATTTTCACAGTGCATGTCATCAAGCAATGCATGTCATCATGCTATTTTAATCTTAAAAAGGCAGACAGTGGGGGAGGTATTGGATGAGCGGTTTTGACCAGGGAGGGATGCTGTGAAGATTTTTTGCACAGGGTACTTAAAGGCCTGTGACAAACGCTTCTTACCCTGGACATTTGTCACGAACGCCTGCAGTAGCCTGCTAGCCTCCTGCCCAAGGACTGTGGGCCACATACAAAGACCCTGTTCGGGAGTTAAATCTCCCCAGCCTCCATTACCAGCTTTTCCTGGGTGCCTGAGACTAAGGGGAACAAACACTACCTAGGAGCCATCTGGAGAACTCCGTATTGCGGCCGCAGGAGCTCCTGGAAGTTGGCATTTCCCCTACACTGCATGGATTTGAGTGCTTATTGGAGGGAAGGTGCCTGAGACTAAGGAGAACAAAAGCTATCCAAGAGCCAGCCGAAAAAGTTGACCACTAAAAACACCAAACACCCTAGAACTGTTTTGGTCATAGGACCATGTGTGCGGCAGGTCAGAACTTCCACACAATGGCGTTTCCCCTACAATGAATGGATCTGAGCGCTATTTGGAGAACTTGGGCGCTTAGATTAAGGCTATTTAACGGAATATAATTTGTCCTATTTGTTTTGTATGTATTTTGATAATTTATGTTTTTATGCCGAGTCACTCTGACACAGGAATCTGGTGACATTTTGTGGGAGTGTTCTGGGCGTGTTTTACTGCATCCTTCTTTTGTATATAAGTGGGCCATTTGGCCATGAATAAACACATTCGTTTGTACCCTTCACCAAGTCTAGGCTGATGTTTGGGGAATTGGGAGCTATAATCACTGCTTTACTGGGGATTTGGGAGAACTACAGCGGATATACTCAGCTGGAGTATAGGGGATCCGTTACAAGGCCTAATGCCAGTCCTGGTCCTGGAGTTGAGAAGTGAAAAATTGGAGATACTATACTAGGCTTTGGTTTGTGCATTCAGCAGCCCCATTAGTCTGGAAAAGATAGGATGAGAAAGAGAATTCAATGTCCATCTCAATGAACAACCTCCTATAGAACTCGGAAATGAACTGTGGCCTCCTATCAGACACAAGACATGAGTCAGAATATATCTTTAGTGAAAATGTGTGCCAGTTCTGCAGAATTTAGGTAGCTAATGCAGCAATATGCCATCTTAGAAAAGCAGTCTACTGCAACCATCATAAAAGTGTGTGTTGTAGAATGTGATAAATCCACAATAAAGTCCATAGACAATTGTGACCATGGAACAGAAGGTACATGAAGGAGTTGTAGCAGACTGCATGGAGTTTGATGAGATGCCTTTGCTTGAGTAGAGGTGGTACAGGCTTAACCGTATTTTAACTAACATTCTTCTGGAGGGTTGACCACCAAAAATTCCAGGATATTGTCAGGATCTTACCTGAGTTGGGAGTCTGTAGCGCAGATATGTTGCTCAACCTTGCAAATAGACACAGTCCAAGGTGACCAGATAATAAACCACCTAGACTGTGAATCTGTGCACGGGGGCTGTGCAGGATGAAGTTCCAAGTCAGTACAGGCAAGGACACAAACAGCAGGATAGTCAAGGGATAGCCGAAATCAAAAGATGCCAGAGGTCAGGATAAACCAAGTCAGAAGCCAGGGTCAAAATGGAGTAGAAAATCAAGACACTGGAACGCAGGCACTAAACACACCACAGGATCAAAGACTTGATAATGTTCCCAGGGTGAGGCAGTGCTTAAATACCCAGCTGATGACTGAGCAATCTCAGGTCAAGCACAGCAATAGATGAGGTCCAGCCCCTAGTGCTGCAGACAAGCAAGGATGAACAGGACTAGAATAAGTCCAAGGACTAGGAACTGCTTGTTGGGCACTTCTGGGGTGACCACGTCTGGATGTCACGGTGAGAACCCTGACAGATATAAGTAGTAAATACTATCATTTTATGTATCTTTGCTATCAAGGTAGGTATGAAGGATATGTTGTTTATCTGCTGGTGAGATATAGAACCTATGGTTTGGACTTTCTGGAGGAGCATGCTACTTTGGGCTTCATGGAACTTAACTGAGATAACTCAGATCAGATAACTGAATCAAGAGAGGAAGAGGGACTAATGGGCTTGTATGTCAGAGAGTCTCGCCACTTATGTAGGATACATTTTTGACATCTGTTAGTATCTTTACAGTGACAACAGTACCGTTACATATTTATATAGTTACAGAGGCTGAAAAAAGACTTGTGTCCATCAAGGTAAGCCTTTATTACGCAGAATCAGGATGACCACAGGTTCCTGTGTCACCGGGATAGTCCCGGTTTTTGGCGATTTGGTCACGGTGTCCCGAGAATCTTTCTCGGGATTCATAAATGTCCTGTTTTTTCGACATCTCCCCCTGCCGGCCCAATGCAGAGCAGGACCTGTTATCTGCCTTCTCGCGCTGATGGGCTGATTAAAAATCTCCCTCACCAACCCAAATGCAGTTTGCCACAGCAGAGGGATGTAGGGAGCCAGGGCATGGGGGGCAGAACTTTCCTCACACGAGCAGGCAGGTCGGAGCATTGCTCCGACACAGCATTGTACTCGTGGGACGAGACAGTAGTCAATCTGCAGGCAGAGGAGCTGCAGGCTAAACTACACATGACGCCCCACCACTGGACCACCAGGGCTTGAAAAGTCCCCCCTCCAGCAGTCTGTGTGTATGTATGTGTATTCAGCAGCGTAATACTCTTAGGGAAAAATTGTGTGGAACTCAACCGCAGGTGAATGTCAAGTTAACAAAATATAATTATTAAAAAAAAGTAATTTAACTCTGGCAGACTTCTGCAGCAATAAAGATTTAAAATAATTATGCATAAATAATGAGAATCTTGTTTCAGTATTGCTTCACAAGAATATAGCATTTAGAAATAAATGAAAATAAGGAATGCTTAATTAGCAGTAAGTAGTCTAGTCTGTTAGACTTCAATATAGTTTTGACAGAGCAGGTGATTTCTGTTGTTGGAAAGTAACACAGTCTTTTAACTTGAACCAGTAAATATTGGCAATGATATATTTACTGTATCCTGGTATGAGAAGTGGTTATAGTCTTTTAGACTCCAATAATAATAATTAACATAAATGAGCAATTTAGCAAATGAGATTTTCAATAGAGATAGCAATTAGAATCCCAGAGGGTAGACTTTAGTATTGCTTTTCCTTCCAAAATAACTTTAGGTAAGAACTAATTAGTAATCCAAATAAGTGGAGAATTTATCTTGCCTTTCTTGGATGATGAGAATTGTAGTAGCGTGGATTATGGTTCCCTGAAGTAAGTGGAGAGAGGCAAGAATTCTAAGTGAAGTCTGTTCCTTGTCAGGGAGTTGAGAGTAGAGCATAGCCAGGATCAAAGCCAGAGAGGTTCAGTACACAGGAAATCAATTAGCAGAGCTCCATCGGGAAACGGCAACAATGTAGCAAGTAGCGTGAGCACATCAAAGATGAAAAAACATTGATTGAGCTATTTGGATGCGGTCGCGGCTTCGTTTTGAAGAGAATCGCGTGACGGCATGGCGAAAACCGGAAGTCATACGGGTAATGCTGATCGGTCTGAAAACAATATGGAGGAATTCCGAAACAACATGGGGGAATCCTGACAAGCAGCCTGTGTATATGTATTCAGCAGTCTATGTGTGTTTGTGTACTCAGCAGTCTGTGTATGTATTCAGCAGTCTATGTCTGTATTTAGCAGTCTGTATGTATTCAGCACTCTGTGTGTGTATTCAGCTGTCTGTGTGTGTGTGTATTCACCAGTCTGTGCGTGTATGTATTTAGCAGTCTCTGTGTGAATGTATTCAGCAGCCTGTGTGTATGTATTCAGCAGTCTAAGTGTGTGTATTTGTCACGTATCCATCCGCACATAAGAATGTGGTCAATGGCATTTACTGTCCACACAGGAAAAGTTGTGCCGAGCAGCAACCAAATCCACAGAAGGGTTAAAATGATGAGCAGCAATTATGCAAATGGGAACCTGGTAACTGCCTTTGGGGTCATAGGCTGGTTACAGCCTAACAGATCTAGAGGAGGGGTATTTAGGCCCAGTTGTCATCCT